CATGTTATACATGATATAATTTATTACACAAGCTATGTAAAAAGAAGAGAAACAGATAAAACAGACTCCTGAGAAGCTTACACACCTGCCACTTGTTACTTGTTCCCTTGCCTGTGGTGCTGACTGGTCGGCAGTCTTGCCTGTTGTTTCCCGGTACTGCTGAACCTTGGCAATGATATTGGGTGATGACGGGGGAGTGATTTCAAAGTCATCGTCATCAGCATCCTGGATGTCAGTTTGGTTGGAATCTACTGTCATCACACGCCTCTTCTTGGAAGCTGAAATTTAAAAAAAATGTTGGTTGTAGCAGCAGTAGCATCATCTTTGCATCACATCAAACGAAAACAATGGACAACCATTTTTAAGGGGTTGGTGGTGGTAATTTCCTGGTGTAACATATTGTAAGTTTAGTCACCTCAGCATTCTATCTAATTAGACACAAAATAATACATACTAAAACATGCATTATATCAGGTAGGATTGATAAAATTGAACAAGTGAATACCACATGACTGTCACATGTTACACATGACCATGTTAGATACTGTAAATCACTTTATGGTAGCAAAAGTTTGTGGTCTGAGAAAAATGGACATGTTTGTGGAACTACTACATTCGCGATGGCAGCGGGTTCAGCGAAAAGTAGTTATTTGTTCACAGTAATGATAAGTTTGAGGTACAGAAGTGACCGTGAAAAATGCAAATTTTTATTTAAAAGTATCGCAAAAAATTGTGATTTTTGCTGCAGTCAAAGTCAGCGCATGACAATTAAGTCATCTCACCTGAGCTAACGACATTATCTTCCTCATCAGTTTCTGGAAGTTCAAACACAGCTGACAGGTCTCTCTTCTGAGGCTGACTGTCCTCGGCAGGGACACTGGTGCCGTTCACTTTCACCTCACCCTTGTCCTTCGGTGTGGAGAACTTCAGACTTCGCTTAGACTTTTCCTGGCTGCTTGGTTTAAAACCAGGAATGTCTGTGCACAGGTTTGAAAAAATTAGAGTGAGTTTAACGGTGCACACCCCAGTTCTTCCGCGACCGGGGTCCGTGATAGTCCGTTGTAAAAAAGTGACGAAAGGGTTTTGAGGGTCCAAGTTTGAGGTGACATTTCTTATAAACTGCCACGAAGTATCATTAAACATTAACATGGCTGAAGAGTGTAAGAAATGGTGATTTTGGGGTGAAAATTTCTTTTGGCTCCGAACCTTACTTCCGGGTATCCTTGCGCGCCAAGTGTAATCCGCCCGTTTGACCTAGTTTTCGCTCTGTGGCTTCGTAGGGGTGGATTTGCAACCCCTCGCGCCGTGGACTGTTTAGAAAATTACAGTACTAGAATTTTCTTTATAATTTACTCGGGTATAGTCAAGGCTTGGGTCGTTTCTGCCAGCATCAGTCATTTCTGTCCGGAAAATTTTTTTTGTGGGATTATCCTACGCGAAAATTTGCAATTTTGGGCATTAATTTTGGAGTGAAAATAATGTTTTTTCCGTTGATTTTACCAAACTTAAAAAGGCTGAAGAAACCAAACTCAGCTTGTCTTGTAGCTGAAGAGATACCCTTTCGTCCCATATACAGTTATTCTCCTTCCGAATTATTCCACGCCAGAGACGGTCGCTAGATTTGAGGGTGTGCAGCTTCGAAAAGAGGCCCCAAATAAACTGGGGTGTGCCCCCTTAATAAGTTCTTCTGCCTATTTCTGCACTTTTAGGAATTGCTACTAACTTTTCACATGAAGCATCTTGCTTAAGACGCTTATTATTATGCCTGAAACGTTGAAATCAAACAAATGAACTTTAAAAGAGGAAGGCCTTGGTCAAGGTTTTTCTGGCATGCCACTAAGAGGAAAGGGGTTTTCCCCCTTGCTTGTGCTTTGGAATTACACGTCGTGTCGGTTACGCAACAATATTAAGCAACAAGAAACGTTACACTGGGGTCTCACTAAACAGATAGTGACAGCAGGGTCGGGAGAAAATCAAAGAAACAGCACTTCTTGGAATTTGGGGAGGGGGGCAATCGAGCTAAATGACACTCTACCTTCCATCTCATCCAGGACCTCCAGCTCATCCGCAAAGTCCGCTTCGAAGTTATCATCGTAATCATACGGGTAATCATAATCTGGAACAGCCGCCATGGTCCTCCAGGTCACGGGAATCGGGAAGAAAGGGCCTCAAAATCAGGAGACTTTTAGTTTTCCTTCGGCAAAGCTGCCATGTTGAAAGAAATTTCCCGCGCAGTGAGCTTGGGTCAGCCGGGGTCATGTATACATCCCGTCATGCTTTGTTTGGGTCAGTCCCATAATGAGAAGAGGGGGGAGCAGGGTGGTAAACACACCTGCACTAGTACTGTCTTCAACATTGGTGCACTTCTATTATAAATAGGGTAAGTTGTTTGTAGATTCATGATGTTCAGAACAGTGTTTGATAGTTGGGTGTAGCATAGCCAGAATGGATTTTTGGTATGTTCCACCCATAGTTCATAAGATTGCTTGTACTTGAATCACTAGAAATAGATGCATATAGCCATTGTCCTTCTAACTGCACGATATAGCCTCAATCAAAAGTGTCTCCTATTTTCTTATCTCCATTTTCCTTGCAGGATGAGCATTTCCTTGCAGGATGAGCGAGTGATGAAGGATAAACCAAGGAGCTGTAAATTAAGAGCAACCCACACTGGGACTGGAATTCCTACCTGGCCAGTACAACTCTACTCTACTCTAATATAATGTACATACATGTAACGTTACATGATATTAATTAAGACTTGGCGAAGACAGGTATAAAGTATGATCAATGGAGAAAGACCTCCCTTCTCCACTGTGGAGGTGTTGTACAGAAGTGAGAACTTCCTGGTGGTGAACAAGCCTTACGATCTGGTGTTGAACTGGGATGACCCTTCCAGAACAGACAGTCTACAGCACCTGTTACAGGAGAGGTTCCCAGACCTGGTAGATGAGTCACTCACACATCGTTTCAGGTACTACCTGAGTAATTAATGATGATCGGTTGTGTTATATGTGTTCAAGGAGGTTCAAAAACCTCCTTGATGTGTTTCATAGGTTTGGTTTTTACTCATGTACTTTATTATCTCTCTGGAAACTGTGATTAGATGTACCTGCTCCCTAGCCTGGAGTCCAGCCTTGTTAGCTTGGTCCGCTCCCCAAGATGTTGGCTGGGTAGCAGATCTTGGGGAGCAGACCAAAGCTAATAAGTCTGGACCCAAGTGAGTGAGTCAGTCAGTCAGTCAGTCAGTCAGTGGGTGAGAGAGAGAGCCTCGGAGTGAGCGATCATTCATTTGTGAGTGATCGTTCGTTCGTGAGTGATCGTTCATTCGTGATCGTTCTTTCGCGAGTGATCGTTCTTTCGTGAGTGAGTGACAGAGTGAGTGAGCGAGACCCTGTAGTGTTGAGATCAGAATCACGTTCCTCCTGCATCTCCCCAGGTTTGTCCACAGACTGGACTACTCCACCAGCGGTCCTGTCTGTATCGCACTCAACAAGCAGGCAGCTGGGCATGCTGGGAAGGCTTTCTCTCAGAAACAGGTCATCAAGCGATATCTGGCCTTGGTGAGTTGAATGATGTGCAGTGTCATGTTAAATGGAAGAACATATTTCCCATTGATATCACAATGTTACTTCATCTTTCATCTTTATTGCATAATTCCAAAATGTACATCAGCAGGGGGAGCACAAATGCTTTTGACATTCTCCTACACTTGAGGTTGACACTCACCCCAACCCACTGATGTTCACTAAATGTGGGCTGGAGAGAGTGTGAGACATAGCAAGCTTTAAGAGGTCATTTAGTTTACATCATATATAACAGTTGATGGTGGAGCAAACTGGGTATGAAAATTACAAAGTAGTCTGGCATTACGCATGACTAAAGCATACCTTAATTCATCTCATGTACATCAGCAGCAACAGGGTTAACATTCTCCTTGCTAAAGTAACCACTTGGCGTCAAATTTGTACTGGTTTATTGAGTTATTGGGAAAGCTTGCCATGTACTTATTCACTAAATCTGAATCTTCACATAGCTGCTGTCCATGGTGCTGAATGCTTTCCAGACAGATTTTTGGGGGCTTATAAGTTATCTCCCTTCACTCAGTCTCAGTATTAAAATGTCCTTCTTGACTCAGGTGCGTGGCCACATCAGTGAGAACAACCTGTCCATTGATAAAGCCATAGGTGAGCAGGGTGCACCTGATGCACCTGTCCCCATGTGTGTGGAAGGTACACCTGGCTGTCAGCAGCCCAGGGATGCTGTCACACAGCTGACGGTGGTGGAGAAAGGCCTGTATGAGGGGCAGCCAGCTACAAAAGTTCAGCTGTGTCCTGTGACAGGTACATGTATGCTGCACAGAGTTTACACATACAATACATGTACAATGTATCTTGGATTTGCTCAGTTTAATACAGACACTACCTTTTGCACCATAATGCAAGTGTTAAGAAACAAGATCTGCAAATACAAAGAAATGATAAACATAAGCATAGCTACAGACAGCAACTTATCTATTACAAGTTCCTTTGCAAAAGCAAGACCAGAACACACACTTTCCACTGTAACGTATTTGGGTGCATTCAATTGTGATTCAATACTGAGTAATATATATATAATGGAAAGGACTCTGAATCGATGATTACTAGTATTCGACTTTCCTATTTCATTTCCTATTTCGTAGTGGGTACATTTACAGTTCAGTTTTAAAAAGATTTGTTTTCACACTTTATTCAGTGTCCTGTTTTATTCCATCCAACTGCAGGTAGAAGACACCAGTTACGTGTGCACTGCCACAGCATTGGGCACCCCATAGTGGGAGACTACACCTACAGCTGTCACCAGGACACCAGTCCTTACAGGATGATGCTTCATGCACAGAAACTTATCATACCTCTCAGGGAAGAGGTCATTGACATTGAGACCAATGACCCCTTTGTAACAAACTTTGACCCACAGTGGCAAAGTACAGAAAGATAGCAGTGTCAGAATTTCTGTTTCCTAAAGAAACTACAGTCAAACTTGTATAAGAAGACCACCCTGGGGACCTAAGGAATCTGGTCTTCTTAGACAAGTGGTCTTCTTATCTAAAAAGGAGCCAGGTGACAAGAAAACAAAGACACCAATTTCGAAGTTCAATATTTAACACGTTAAATTATACTATTGTACTAGTTAGGATATACTCTGAACCCTAATACGGGCAAAAGTAATGTGCAGTCGTGATAACTGGGATGATTATGATTATATGAAATAGGACATCTAAATCAGTAATGCCATTAACAGATAGGACATACCTTCTCAAACTTTTTTTCTACCAAATATAATGTACCTACAATCTGACCGGAGTTTTATAGATCCATCTCATATTGTGATGATATAAAGAATATGCTATGTTGTGTTTTTATTGTGTAAGTAAATGAATGAATAAAACATTTTTGTGGAAAACCTTTGCACAAGAAACATGACATTAAAACACCAGTTTGACCTAACATAACTACTCAGAAAATCTGTATACCAGTAGACAGTAGGCATCCTTCCATCTCGAGAGATGATGATAGAACTTTAGGTCCGTGGCTGTAGACAGCACTTAAAGCAATTAAAAGAAGTATATACAAATACATTCCTGCTTGGTTTGGCATATTTGTATTACTCCACCACTTAATAGCACTCGATGTAGATGACACCTTAATCTTTTAAGAGCAGTCTTGATTCCAAACATGGGTAAACACTCATGAAAGCACTTTTGGGCAGAACTGCAGCACTGAGTGGTTTTGCACACCTGTTGGCCACGCCCCCCCCCCGTCCACTAGACTCTGCGATCGCCGTAAGCCACCAAATATTTGACATATCGCCCACAACAGTTACGAAGCATTTCAGCATTTGTCACTACAGCGATGTTTTGATGTCAGCACCGTTAAGTTTGCCACCGTATTTGAGTAAACTGGAGTCAGTTAAGATCTGCCAGTGAACTGACGCCAGTTGTCACTCTAGATCTGCCAGTGCTGAGGTCGTTGTGACTCTGTCGGTGAACCCCGACTAAGCCGTCACGGGCTGCCTCCTGGTGACACACCCAACATGCTGCCGGAAACCACGAAGCAACTTGCACATATCTTAGCTTGGCTGAGAACAAACATTCCACGAGTACAAAATACATCTTTCCCGGTTACACGGTGGTAAAATCTTGAACCTTTACACAAAAAAGTTAAACTCTTGATTACATCGTCCAAGTTGTAAGAAGGTCCGGTTGCTACGAAGTATCAAGGGCTGTTGCGTACTGCTAACAGTGCATGTAAAGTAGCGTTGTGTTATTGGTAGGACGAGAGGGTACATTGTTGTATGTCAGTGTAGCTCAGCACTGATTATAAACACTAGGGACAGCACGGCATAGAGTTACTTTTAGCGAGTTCCCACGCCACTTCTCTTGTAAACGATCTTAATGCACTGTCTGGAGCTAATGTCGGTCTCGTTTGTGTTCGTTCAGAGTCGGTAGCATTCCGCTTGCAAAGTAGAGTAGCATAAGACCTCAACATCTCATCCTACAACCATGCCATGTTTTCCAATGGCTCTTGTGCCCACTCCTATATTCCACGTATCTCTCTGTATGTCTACATGTAATTAAAGACCTTACGAAAGTCGCTGTACTTTTGTTGTGTCAATAAAGTTCTCTATATAGATCTATTATAGTGAACCAAGAGTAAATTCAAGAGTAGATAATATACGCTGTTGGCTACAATACAGAACGGCAGCACGGGGCAACATATACTAGTACCCTAAGAATAAGATGCATTTTATATTTTGGCTTCATCTAGACAACGATCATGTGTACCCCAGCTCTGCATATCGGTAAAACCTTGTGTGAAAGAAGCCTTGCCTGTACTGCGATTTCTTTCCGGTTCAGTGCGCGGGTGAGAGCCGAGTTAGCTTAAGGCTGCACTTGGAATTCTTTTACTTGCAGCTTAAAAGCATCTCCAAGGCGTAAACCCCTCAAGTGCCATTCAAGACCATGCAGTGGCTTAAGGAACCAACAACGGGTGGCTTAAACCGATAATCTCCTGCGCTAGTTTAACTTTTGTGACCTTGGTGCTTGTGCCGTCCTATACTCCATGCAGCGACTTCAAATTCGCTCAAATTGAGTAGCGCTTTCGAAAAATCAAAACACATGGTTCTGAGAGTGACAGGTACATCAGGAACGCGGTCGAGCCGTAACGCGACAACAGGACAGGAATGCGCTGACAACTGTCCAAACCTAGTGAAGGAACACACACTTTTTAGGGACATCTTAGCTCAAGTCTGGTCAACCTACTACGCGTTCCGGTTGACCGCCAGCGGACAAACTTGGCTGAACAATCGGGACGTCCCATCTAGAATTTTCTCTTGAAATGAAGGGACATTTGCATACGAATTGGAAGCGGTGACCCATAGACAGGCCCATAGGTGCATGTGGCATTATGGGCGGGACCCCGGCACAGGTACGGACGCACTTCCGGTGCCACCTGTCTGACAGCCGAACGCCCGGGCATTGTGGGTGCCTACTGTGTATCCATGTGTGCTTTTTCATAACATCCCCAGCGGCGACTGACGCATACCTGTCAACACGCCTCCGAGCCGAGTCCACACTCCCCGCAAGGACAAGTTTTTCGAGGTGAGTCGATCTAGTATAACAAGTCGATCCGCAAGTGTGTTGGGATTGGACTCGATCCACGGAGATCGGCTTACTACACTAACTTACAGCACAAAAGGCGGGGGGTGTAAGCGACCGGTCTAAATATTGTGACCAAGATTTGTGTCTGTTTTGCATGTTTCACGTCGTAAATCTTAAAGTTTAAACAAGGCACACTTGAAATCTAACCTGGTGGTCAAGATAGCGGTCCTTTCGGAAAGTTTTCGAGCACAGTGCCGGTCATGATCAGTACCATGGGCCATGGAACACCAACTTAAAACAAATCGCGAGCGTGTGACAGGCAAAATACGGATAGCAGAAAATCAAAGAAACCCTCAACCTTTTTCAACAGCGTTTAGTAGAAGCCACCTGGAGATTTAGAAAGATGTAAAGTCTACGACGCGAAAACTTGCAAAGTCATCAACAGCTGACTTCTTGGAGGATAGCTATTCACAAAGTCTGTCGTATTCATCGGATTAGCCTCATTGTTGGCCGAGATTGGCATGTTGGAATAGCCTGGAGTGTAAGCCGGCTCATCACGGATGCATGAGCATCTATAATAGACTAACATTTGGGTAAATTGCAAGGTCTGGAACGCCCAAATGAAAATGGGCTCTCTAATTTAGAAGCGTTTGGACCGGCTAGCTTCCCACGAATACGCCCTTTCTTTCAAAGCATTCGCGAAGTCAGCATTCTTGAGTATCGTAACTTAAATAGGTCTTGCTTTTTTTTACGAAAATGACCGCCCTAATAGCTGGTGATTTTAGTTGTGTTGTTGGTGTTACGTGCATTTAAGAAGTTCTTACGTGACAAGAGCTGGCCTTTAAAGGGCGAAACTTGATAATTACCTACCCAACTAGTACCTGCCAAACCGGCGAACACACCGTGATATTCTGCTGTAGTTATATTAGCAGTTAGAAGAGCCTCTACAGACTGGTTCTTTGACGTCACCTTCGACAAAGCCTTCTGTACTTAGCATGCTACAAGTATTGAACTCACAGAGATCAAATGAATGTCGCACTGTACATGCAATTCAAGAAGGTTGTTTGTATCGTCAACTTCTCAGGCGGCCATGTTGGTCTAAAGGCTGGTCGAACAGGTCGAAGGGGCTTGTCTCAAGTTACCGGTACTGGGCTAAATATAGAACCCCGCGGTATCATTTATTAGTACTGATGCCCTAGTTTACCTTAACCACTGTCATTTCGAGTAAGAGAAGTTTTTTTCAACGATTGTTGCCCAAACATTATGAGATTATCATTTTAACAACTACCGGACCAAAATCTTTTGGATACAATATAGCGACTCCGGCTGGCGTAAAAACACTCATGCTTCATCCGTGATGTCTTGAAATTACGCTAATTACGACTTAAAACTAGTTGTAGGTTATGCTTACTTTAATAAACATATGGTATGATCAAAGTTACGTCGCTCCGATGATTGATTGATATTTTTAGGGCATAAAAGTTATTAAGATTTCGCACAGGACACCTGGCAAATACCAACAGCCTGTATACGCGGATATTATTGCTATTTGTTCCGTAATGCCGTGCAAGCAAAACATCGGACACGATCACAAACATTCTCACTATGGCAGATTGTACAGGTGTGTAGTTTTTTGTTTGCCGTGTTATTGTATCGACAGTGGCGTTCAGTCGACAAAGGCAAGCCCTCATTCAACATAGGCGTAAAAGCGAGGCGCCACAGGTAACAAAACCAACTTTCCTTGCCGTTGAAAGCATGTCACAGTTTGCTTTTGATTGCACCTGGTAACTGATACGAGTTGACACTTCAAAAGTAGGACGGCGACCTGCTATCTCACGAAAACGCCGTCCGTATTTGCTAGAAAACTCCATTCGTCCATTACTGTGTATGATGCACGATATTTGTGTACCTGCCGTGTTCTTGCGACGACGGGTGTCGTAACGAAGAAGTTCCTCACGACGGCACGTGTATTTGTTGTGTACACACAGTCCTTTGGGAATTCTTTCACTGCCCCGCCCGACAACATACATATATCGTAGGATTCACTTTCCACAGCTCGGCGACCAATTAAAGTCAGATCTGTGTGACCATTTATTTCATAATTAGAATATGATGCACGATGGAAAAGTATGATTTAAAATGCAACAAAAATGCTTTGAATAATCGTTCTTTGTCTACAAAATTCGTCGAGCGATATTTCAAAATTATTTGGTGGCTTACGGCGATCGCAGAGTCTAGTGGACAGGGGGGGGGGCGTGGCCAACAGGTGTGCAAAACCACTCAGTGCTGCAGTTCTGCCCAAAAATGCTTTCATGAGTGTTTACCCATGTTTGGAATCAAGACTGCTCTTAAAAGATTAAGGTGTCATCTACATAGAGTGCTACTAAGTGGTGGAATAATACAAATATGCCAAACCAAGCAGGAATGTATTTGTATATACTTCTTTCGTCAGTGTGTTACGCGACGTTAAGAAATCGTCTGAAAGAGTGGGGGCGACATTTTCGTCATTTGCTAACGTGGAAAACACTGAGATGCGCATAGTTTGGGTAAGCTGTCCTTGGGCTGTTTACACCTATTTCAGATTTTAAACATTCTGCCTCTTTGTTGGCTCCTTTCAGGCAATCTCAAGATGCCGAAGCTGATAACCGTGTTCGGCGCCAGCGGCAACCAGGGCGGCGGCGTGGTGCGCGCGTTGGTGGACGACCCGGGCTTCGAGCTGAGGGCGGCATCGCGAGACCCCAACTCCGACAAAGTCGCCTGGCTGCGGAAACTTGGCGTCGAGGTCGTGCAGGCGGACTATGACGACCCGGAGAGCCTGGAGCGCGCTCTGAACGGCGCGTACGGCTGCTTCGTGGTGACCGACACGGACTGGGGCAGCGACGACCCGGTCCAGTTGGAGCTGCTGCACGGCCAGAATGTGGCGGACGCGTGTAAGAAACAGGGCGTGCAGCACGTGGTGTTCAGCGAGATGCTGCACGTCAAGAAGGCGATCGGGATCTCCGCCAGACACTGCGACGCGAAGGGGCACATATCGGACTACATGAAGCAGATCGGACTCAACAAGACCGGCATCATCATTCCGTTCTACTTTGAGAACCTCCTGACAACGATGATTCCCAGGAAAACAGGCGACAACACGTTTGCACTAGGTGAGCACTTCAATACCAGAAACCAACAAAAAAAATTATACACTTTCCATCCAGTACATAAAGTCCTACGACCTTCCTCAAAATACCTGGTAACCGCTTACAATACACTGCAAAGCATATCCTGGGCGCACAAGTATATAGAATCTAATGCTGACTGTCCTTTTCGCAGGAATTCCATTCGGAGACAAGCCGATGCCGGGAATAAGCGCCGAGGACATCGGGCTGGTTGTGGGCGCCCTGTTTCGGGACTCTGCGGCCTGGGGCGGGAAGAGTCTGGGCGTGGCAGGGGACATCATGCTGGTCAAGGACTACGCCAAGGTCCTCTCAAACAACCTTGGCCCCAAGAAGTTTGTTGACGGCCAGGTTAGCTTACAGTGACCTTCTTTCGCTTTGTCCTTGATTTCACTGGGTCTCTGAATGACGAGATCATCTTTGCTGACTAGATGGATTACATATGTGACCATACGTTGATAACACATGCCAGCAAGATCCTCGTATTTGACAAGTGACAGAAAGACAGTTACTTTGCTGGTAACTATTTTAGGTAGTCGGGCATTATGTGAAATTGATAATGAAATCAGTGTATCCTCATCGATGATTTAAAAGGTTTCTAAGAGCATTCAAACGGACCAGCGACTAATCTCCAAGCGGCCAATATAGACATCCCTGCTTGGAGATTACCAGTGACGATGAAAAACAAAACTAAGGCAGTACGAAAAGACCACCTGTATTGGGGTGAGTCACTGGTCGTCTTCCTATGACCACCAACGCGTATCCGTTAATCTCCAAGTAGATCTTTCGGTGGGGGTAAGACAGTATCAAATTGACCAGACAGTATCCATTTGCCAGACAGTTACCATCTTGCCACCCTTGGGAAATGGACACTACCTGGCCAATGGCATACAGTACCGTATATGCAGCCACCGAAAGATCTGCTTGGAGATTTAGTGTCCGTGACCTTATGCCCTCTAACCCCCTCCCCTCCCCCCTCAGATGACGGTACAGCAGATCCGGGACCTGCAGCCCTACTGGCCGGCTGCCGTGGACCTCGCCAACATGTACGAGTTCATGATGCGGGCTACCCTGCCGTACAGCAAGGACCGCACACAGGAGCTGTGTCCCGCCGTCAGGAGCTTCGACCAGTGGGTGGCGGACAACAGGGACAAGTTAGACGGCGCTTGTAATTAGTACACTACCTCGGAACAGTGAAAGATTAATACAAAACGTAACGTTTCTCTTAAGTCTGAACGATGTATTTTCCTGCAGAACATAAATGCTGTGGTCAATACAGAAGGGCTGCTCACGAATGCAATGTTCTGATCAACCACATTTGTCATACAATGAACTTTGAAGGACAATAGTAAATATTTTTTCAGCTTATATTGGCATGGAGCCAGTAGTATCCAGACAAAAAGCTGCTCCTTCTCAAGGTAAATGTATCGAACATCAACAGTCCATGCCGTATATGCAATCAGCATCTATCATGCTTATTCATTTATGTTTGTTTGTTTGTTTGTTTGTTCTTGTTGTTAACACGTCTGTGTAACGATCTCAGATTAGAGTAAGAACCCGTTAACTGTCAGTTTTGTCTTTATAATGTATTTTACTACTTTGAAGTGACCATGTTTGAGAATTTCTCAACTAGAGATGAAGATTCGTTTATTTATATTTGCATCCAGTTTAACAGGTGTTGGGCATGTGGGAAGGAGATTTTTAACTTGTTTGACAACACTTCACATCTGAGGAGAGAAAAAATGGTGAATTCGGATGGGTGGGTGGGTGATGAAAAAATAAAAAAATGAACTTTACAGACATTTAGTTTTTGATTGTCTCATTGTCATTGAACTTTTTGTATTATATTTCTTTGGTCGGCAATATGTCACACAATAATCCACAAATCCATAATTGTTACAACAGCGATTTGTTATAACAATATGTATTCAAAATCGCTCTACAAGCAATTCAAAGTCCCTTGCTTTTGATAAGGCTGATATCTATGGTAAATACAAGTTGCTTCGTAAGTAAATCCAAAAGGTCCTCTAAAGCTATATATACGGAGTTCTTCACTGCACAAACAAACGAATTTTATCTTTCAACTTTTCGGTAAACTTTCTGCTACCTTTCTCGAGGCTAATGAACTCTATCTACTACTACCCAGTGTCACCTTTTTCGTTACGTAGCTGTAGAACTGTTTCCAGTAATTTGCCCAGGTTCTCAAAGGTCCATACGACGCCTTTTCCTCATCTCCTGCTTCTGCTTGTACTTCGGTACCCTGGGACTGAGATCCAGCTCGTACCCAATCTCTCCCCTCTCCTGGACGGCCTGCAGGAACTTGCTAGTCTTCCGCTTGTGCCACACGGGGTGACCCGCCGCCTTCATCGACTCGTGCACCTGCTGGTCCATCTCCCGGGCTTTCTGCACTTTGGACTCCACCTGAGGAAGGTATAGACAATACGCTAGCACAAGGTACAGGGCAGCATTTCGAAAACTGCAACACTCACAAGACAAGCGAGTTGCGAGGTTCAAACACCCCACCGTTGCCAGTACCTTTTGACTTAGTCCGAGCGATGGCCATGAAAACATAGCTACAATTGCTCTATCAGCTGAGATAGAATCCTGTACATATACAGCATTGCACGTTTACCTCATTGGTGCCCTTCTCTGCCCTGTTGTATGTCCTGTCCAGGTTCCGCTGTTTCTGGTCCAGCACGTCCACCCTGTGGTTGATGAACTTCAGCATGTCCTTCTCAGTCATGGCGTCCGGCTGCCGCCGCATGTACCTGTTCTGGTCCGCACAGATCACGTAACGTTATACGCACGTCAGGCAACATGATAAAACTTTCAGACGTTCTCCTAAACACTATTCTAAACATGCAGCAATTCTAATTTCCAAACATAGAGGCTTTGCGGAATATTGGACAGAAATTCGTCCCTCAAAAGCTCCAATACATGATTCCCGAAGAAGGTCGTAGGATTAAAAAAATTGGTGTGTGTAACTCCATCACATTGTGTTGTTTTTTGTTCCGCTATGTACAGTATGTCAAATAAACATTAACACGTGCACAGTGCTTTTGTTGACAGATATATTTTTCTCACAACAGTAAAAATCATCAGGGTATGCTGGAGTTTTTTTTCTATTCCTGTCACAACACAGCATCCCGTCTAGTTCTGTCGCCAGATTAGCAGAAATGAAACGTCGAGCTTACTCCGTCCTCGGCCACAGCACTGCGCACGAACTGCGACTCCCTGGCCAGGTCGTCCATGCCCTTCTCCGCCTCCTTGATGTTTTTGTTCAGGCTTTGGATCCTCAGCTCCATCATGGACTTGGCCATGTAGCCGTTGTCGTCTCCGTTCAAGCGGGGATCCTCGTACACAACAATTGCCATCGAGCTATACAAACAAAGCAAAGGTTTATGCTGTGAAAAAGTGATCGATTTTACTGAAGTAACTTTGGTAGGGAAGAACGGTTATGCCTCCATACTTTCCGTCCCCGCTGAGGATAGCCAATCGTCCTCATAGCTAGTCATACATATTAAACAACCCAGTTACTCGGAAGGCACAAAAGTCCACACAATAGGCGACGATCTAACTTCTGAGATGCTAGGGTCACATTTCCAAGCCGGGGCCCGGCCGGACAATTTGCGAGAACGAAAAAATATGATATAAAAGACAACGGAACACACAAAACGCTTAAAAGATATCCATAAGCATGATTTTTCAGATTCTTAATATGCATTTTTTTATGTTTCACCGCGGCTTAGAATTGTGATTCCAGCATATATAAGAAACATTTACCGAGGCTTGGGTTTGTTGGCTCTCATCCTGATGTCCTTCCTGTTGCAGTTGTACTCATCCACCAGGTCATCGAACTTGCCCTCAGTCGTCTTGACATTGTTCTGGAGTTTCCGCACTTTCAGCTGAACATTGCGGGAGAACGACAAAGAACATTACTACATCAGACAGTGGATTGTCTATGGCTTTTTACACCATGCTGTACACAGACGTTACTTTCTTCTTTCATATAGGTATGACGTTACTAGTATGAGCTGTAAGCGTGGAGCTTGTGGCTGTATGCGTGTTTAAAACACAGACGTTACATAATACTTTTGGATACAGCACTGTAATAACTTTCGTGCTCTGTTTTTTTTTTTTCAAGTGGAATGCAACTCAGGTTCGCATTTGTCCACAGCTTTATCATGACATGAATATCAGTGGTTGGTGGGGAAGATTGTAACCTTCAAATATGCCCCGTCTTTTTCTGTCGCTACTGGTGGGGGTAGCTCCTCTGCTTGGGGAGTAGGGATATTAGAGAATCTAAGAAGTTAATTGGCAATTCAACGGTTCCAAATGACTACTCTGCATGGTGTAATATCAAAATCAAAGGTTCATTCACCTGTAAAATCGTTTCCGACTTGTCCTCTTCTTGGATCGGCCCGTCCAGGATGGACACCCGTTTCTTCCCCGGCACGCCCACCTTGCCGCGGAGGGGTTTGTGGTCGTCAGGCACCCTGCTCATGGGCAGCCGGTACTCCTCGTTCATGTGGTCCAGGTCATTCTTCAGGCTCCGGTACTTGTCCGCGAAGGCCTGCTTACGTCTGTTGACGCTGTGGAGGGGGTGGTCCCTGGCGAGTTGGAAAGAACAAATACAAATAATGTTTCATGTTTTATAACAAGCAAAATGCTGCTAATGATATTACAACAGCATACATCATTAACTTTAAAGGCTTTGTATTTACGTACACTTTACGGTTATGGCAAGCGAAATGTTGCTAATGATATCATTACAGCAAATAGATCCTTAACCCTAAAGGCTTTGTATGTACGTACACATATTATATTTAAGTAATTTGATGATCTAATATTTACAATGACGTGCTAGAAACTATGGCAAGATGGGGAGGGAGAAAATGGCGGCCGGATTCGATAATTTGTTAAGTGTAATATCTTGAAATTTAGATTGTATAACGTCACAATTTTCTCTAAGAATGTATATATCGATACAATATTGTTGCATATTATAGCATTTCATCGCTGCTACAATATCAGCACTATGCATGTAGCTAACTTGCGACGACAGTTATTATTAGATCGCCATACGGTATAGCACGGCCATCACAAAAGCATGTATATAACTCCAGACTTGCCTGCCTTCCAGTAACTTAGCGGTGGGATCCGCCTCCCCGGTACCGGTGTCCCCGTACACGGACATTGTCTGCTCCGTCTGCGGCTGGCTCTGAGAATCAGTACGGCCAACGATGGAGGTTGAAAGTCGGCGATGTTGGACCGACCGTCCGTCCCGTCTATTTTAGGAAATTATTTTCGAAATGCTCGCGGACGTGGACTGTGATAGCCCAGCCCGACCGGGGATGTGTTTTTATTGTCACTCAATCCCGTTGATGACGTCATGTTGACCATGCGTACACGCGCGCCATACAGTAGTTTAGTTCGTTTGACTGGGGCGATTGATTCCAGTGTGCCAATTTCGCGACATTAGGTCACGTCTTTGAAGCAATGACGCATGGGACGTGTTGCAAAACAGATATGTTTACATCCTCTGTTTGGTAAGTTTAAGAGAGTAGGGCTGTTGTAGAAACGTTGGCCCCAATAACACGCACAGTGAAACATTAAACGGTACAATTTGCTGGCTTTGCGGCAACGCGAGGCCAGATAGCACTGCTGGTTTCAAAGGACAAGCATGGTGTACCTAATCCCGGTCGCTAGATGTCGCAAGAGATTGGAGTCAGATGAACCCACCTCTCGGGTGCAAGAGAACTCAAAACTATAGTACAATTTATTCCAACACAAAGAGATCAAATTTTCAACGACCACTGGATATTCATCAAGATAATTTGATCCATGTGTTTTCTTTGTGTTAAAGTTTAACATTGACCTATGATCAGTGCCAACACAGATGAACTTCCATGAGAACTCAAACTATATATAGCTAATTGTAAAGAAAACGTACACTTTCAATGATAAAGGCATGTTTATTTTAACACCCTCCTAAATGTCATAAAACAGCACGACAAATGCAAGCAACCCTTTGTCTTTATTCTGGTTGGTTCTTCAGTACCAGTGAGTCATTACAGATGTCCGGCACGTTTGACTTTCTAACGACTCAGGTTTGTGAGAAGATTTATGCATCTGGGAAATCCCCTGTGCATGTCCAAGCGCAGTGCAACCCAAGACGTCAACAAACACTTCAGGTCTATAGTCAAGTAAGGCAGATACCCAGGTTAAATGTAATCATACTAGTACATTGAATCAGGTGCAGTTAGGCTCGTTTTTTGACTGTGACTGATGGATTTATGATTAAGGCACATTAGAATCTCAGTGAAGCAACTTTAAATTTCTCAGTGGTGCACATGGTGCACAAACTAGTCTCAGCTCCGAGCATTAAGTGGTGGTACACAAATCTTGTAGTTAGTTACTAGTAGTTAGATACTTGACTTTGTTCATGATACATGTACTAGAATGGTGAATCTGGGTTAACACATGTTTATATTCCTTTTCTTCTCTTTAGCTCATGATTCTGTGACACATTGTTGTCATTATAGTTGAAACGGATCCTGTTTAGATATATTGAAAAGTATACAACATTTACGAAGGCAAGAAATATCGCTAGCCGATGTCAACTTACAAACCACTCAGTTTTGAAACAAAGCTAGAAAAACTGCAAGTCGAGGTCTATATTTTTTCCGAATACATACATCAAGAAAAGGTTCTGAGCTTTTCTACATATAAATCCTGGCGCCTGTGGTTTTCGCGGCACGATTGCCGACATTACATGGTGTTTCACAGGTCTTAGACAGGCTGAGCCTTCACAGCCACAGCCGGGTCGGCGGGAGCTGGGGCCTGTTCACCGGCAGGATAGGGCGGGCTCTGCTGGCCAGGCGGCGGCAGGTAGGCAGGGGGAGGCCCGCTCAGCTGCTGGATGTAGGCGGCCTGGGGATAGGCACCCGGCATCGCTGTAAGAAAAAATGTAGTCCTGTGAGATTTGCTATATGGAGTGTGAATCGTACACGGTCGCAGAGACCAAAATCTGAGTTGTTGTGATGAACGCAATCTCAGTGAAAAAAAAAAAAATGTTAAACCAAGGACAGGCCCAATATTACTGTAATAAAACGCAGTGCTGGAGGATTTGCTGTCTCGTCATGTCATGGTAGTCTCCGTGGAGAAAATCACTGACAGTGGAGAAGAGCTGAACTAAAGATAAAGATATGGTGTAGATGCGGTAGATATATACAGTACTAGATATGCATTTATGTTACCTGGGTTGTTGACGGTGCTTGGCATCTGGGCGTAAGGCAGGTTGGATGGCTGCATGATCACCACACTCGGGCCCGGCTACAACATTACAATAAAATTAAATTATAAATTCATGAATATACCATTAAAAGTTTAGATGCACACACGTATATTGGTTTTAACCAATATAAGTATGATCATAGGAGAAAACATCTTCTTAAAAGTTTGTAACTATCCAGTCAAAAACCTCATTCATCAGGGATCAGCCCACCTGCTGATCGCAGCAGGCACAGCCGACCACACAGCCGACGATGGAGGAGGCAAAACACAGAACCATCTCCAGCAGCCCTAGCGCCAGGCAGGTGTAGTGCAGGGCGACCATGGCCGAGCAGTACCTGTAGATGATGTAAACAGAGTTACTATGTATACCCCTGCTGCCTAACATAACCAAAGTCAGTGGTACCAGGGAGGTTTACACCTACTTACAAACTACTATCTTAGCAGACTACCAGCTCCTCCAATGTTAATCGTTAAGAGAAAGAAATGAAAAAAATACACTATATCTTTGCATTATCGTTATTGCTGCAAGTTAGGAAAAACTCCTACCTTTGATTATAACACGCGAAATGTAATTACAGACGTACATACTTAGAGATTACTGATTTTAAAGTACATCGGATATATTTTGTAAGCATAGCTATAGGGAGCAGAGAATATAGGAGATGCTTACGAATATCCAATGTAGTCACCATCGCTAGCGCTCTTGACGTAAGAGTCGTCCCAGCTGTTGTAGCTCTTGGTGACGAAGATGTTGTCGAGGGCGTTCGAAATTTCCTGCTCCAAACCCACCACCACGCACGACCACGCCGCCGCGGCGCCGCACACGCTAACCTGGGCCAGCGCCACGAAAATGCCGATGATGCTCAAAGTCAGGAAGGCCGGGGTCTGTGAAACAGGGACATCGTATTATCAGAACTCATGATATGTATTTTGCTCATAATTTATATTTTAAAACGCCGCAAAAATTATCTTCCCCCCTTCTACCGTGAAATTAAATCTCGCGAAAAAACGATGGGGCTACAGTAACTTACAAATCCGACAGGCGCGCCTTCCCGTTTGAAGTTCCTCCCGGCCATGATGCCCATGGCTCCAGTGATGACCACCTGTAAGAGGAGGAACACACCGATTCAAATTCTGCACATCCAGTCAACGTACAGTATTTAACACACATAGAAAGCTTCAGAGGACTTTGAAATATAAACACTCAAAGGTTATGATATTTGTCTCTGCTTTACACAGCAGCTAGCTGGCTTTTACAAGATGTTTGTCTGAGAAACAAGTAATCTCGTTTGACTGGTCCGCTGGAAGATTTGCAAGAGAAGCTTTTTACATATCTTGAAACGGCTGAAATTATATTAAGAATTCATAAATGCGAAATCTAATCCAGATCCCATAATTCAATCACTTCTTTCATCGACCAAAACAAAGCTGGCAACAAAAACATTCAAACTTCCTTTAACGTAATACCATGCAATAAGCACAATATCACGAACCAACTGTTCGTTAAAAAAATGACCTCACATATTTTCAAGTTGGTATTTGCAATTCGACATTGTCGAGCGTGACTTTACCATGTTACTGGTTGCAGAGTGGGCGGGTGGAAGTATGTGTGGATTGTTACGGACTTACGAACACGCCAGCCCAGATGGGCCCGCTGATGCGGCTGTAGTAGTCCCGCTGGAAGGCCGCAGCGGCGGCGATGCCGAGGACTGTACTGAGGGAGCCCAGGATGACCAGGGTCACTCCCAGCCCGAACATCACATGTCCGTTGTTCTTGCACATGGTGGCGAGCTTCGGGTTTTTACCCAACCCTAGCACTGTCGGGGGTTTCTTGATGTCAATTACATACAAATCACAAGAAAACAATTGCTAGCACAGGTCATTAATAGGTAAACATACAGGTATGATACATGCATTTCTGTTTTCGTTCCTCCCCATAACGGTTAATGATAATTTGCCATACGCAGAGAAATCCACCATTTGTAGTGAGGACAAAAGATACCCAGTAGCTACAAGGCTACATAACTCCTACCTTAAGAACACCGCTCTATTTTCGCCTGACTCAGGAGTCAAAACACGTCGCCAGTAAAATGCAATTATAGCCTCAGGTGGAAGAATGCAGACTAATCATACTGCATACACAGCTTTCTTACAGAGAGTTCTAGGCGTGTTTAAAAGGCACATACACAGGTTTATATATATATATGTTTGGATGTAATAGTTGAGGGAATGAAAAATATTCTGTTTGTTTGTTTGTTTGTTTATTTGTACGCTGGACCCTACTATGCAGCATACAGGATCCGTGCCCATACGATTGTTTACCGTGTCTTCTTTATTCCCGATATCCATCTTTGTACTTCGACCACAAGCATGTAGTCTTTAGGGTCTGTTGGTAATAAATTTGGTGTTGTATGTACCAGTACTCTTCAACAACTTAAAAATAATCCAAAACTTGGACGGTTGTTGTCGTGCGTTGCTGGCTCAGAGGAGGCCAGGTTCATTTGTTTAGTGGATTTGTTGTTCTGTTCTGACCGGTCTCAGACTCTCTGTCTTGTCCAGCGACAGCGCCGGACGCCCAAGTACCTTGCAATTTCTACGTGCATTATGTGCAGGGTGTAACAATGTGTACCAGGTACATGTAAGGCGCGCCAGCCATGTTGGTTGCCCTCAACCGGATCAAAACCTTGGCTCTACAAACAACAATCTGTTTTGTAATTACCAGCGTTCGCGGTCTGTGAAGATTACGCTGTGAATGTTTCTGTTGTATTGGAACTGTTCACAAGTGAAATATCACAAATATAGCCATTTAAAAGCTTCTCACAAGCACAGCTTCACATGGTATGACCATAGCGAGATCAATGTCGCAGGTATCAGAACAAACAACAGGTTTAGTCGGCGCTTCATTGTTTTTTTTTTACCGGGTGTAATGTCGCAGCGCTAGCGTTAGACCAGCTCACGTTAAACGTAAGTCAGAAAAAAACAACCTATAAGCCCTGATCTTTGAGCTGTGAATTCATTGTGTACGCCAATGTCGTGGAAACACCATAATGATTACACGCTACAGCATACATGTAATGTATATTTGGAAACCAGACCAACATTTTTTTTCACAATGATATGGTGTCGCGCGCACGTCTGATAGGCAACAAAACGTATGGCAGAGAATCAAGAAGCGAGGAGATATCACAAGATGTTTACCTCAGATCGGCAACAAGTCGCTGTGGACAAAATGTCGGCCACCAGTCTGGTAGACCTCCCCGTCTGGTTCGCTATCAATCCAGGGACCGGAGACGTCGCCTCCAGCAATGGGTGAAAAATGTCAACATGCACGCAATAGCACCTGTCGACCAATGGCGGTACGGTACGGGTAACTCAATTCGCGCAGGTGAATATCCATATGCAAAACAAGGTATGTATTGTCTGGTCTGAGATCATTGAAGGTCACTGACAAGGGGGCGGGGCGGACAGGTTGTACCGTCCCCTTTTTAGAAGGGCTCTTTCTTTCTGTCTTTTTGCCGATTTCATTGTGATCGTGAAAAGGTGATTTGCAACAGTGCATTCATGGGGCCTTTTGGAGATGAAAGAGTGCGGCAGAATATATCATTCTGGTTGACTAGATTTGATCTTATCTTTAGTTATTTTGCAAATAATATAACAAGGGCCTCCTATGTTAGACATAGTAATATCAATTAACTAAATTATGAATAACTAATCAAACGAAGAAAAACAACTTTCACCCTCCCTAAAATGTCACAGAACAACACGACAAATGCAGGCAACCCTTTGTCTTTGTTCTGGTTGGTTCTTCAGTACCAGTCATTACAGATGTTAGGCACGTTTGACTTTCTAACGACTCAGGTTTGTGATAAGATTTGTGCATCTAGAAAATCCCCTGTGCATGTCTGCTAGCGCAGTGCAACCCAATTAAGACTAGACAACAAACACCTTTATAGATAGCTTAAGCCAAGTCTTAACAAAGGTGTATATAGGGCTTGTTCTTCTTCTCTTTAGCCAATGATATATCACTACCCCATGAAATGTCGCTAGTTGATATCATATTACAATACACTCGGTTTTGAAACACAGCTAGAATAAGAATTCTGAGACTTCATACCTTATGTAATAACTGAATTTCCTCCTAAATGTTTATTGAAGTTAAATATTCTTTTGCATAATTTACATTTCATTATATACATCTCTCTATAAGATACATACAGAGCAAAAATGATAAAAACGAATGTCCTCTGCAACAAGAAAAATTCTAATGCAAAGTTGACCAAACACCCAAGGAAAAGAGCGAAAAATTAGGGTTTTAATTGCGCTGGCGCAGTACGTTCTGCCGACGTGCTATTCGCGCAAGTGAATATCCATATGCAAAACAAGGTATGTATTACATGTACCTGGTCTGGGATCACGAAAGGTCACTGACAAGTGGGCGGGGCGGTCGAGACTACTTCTGTTTTTCTTGCTGCTGTCCTTGCCATAAAAAGGTGTATTCATAGGGTATATTGTACGTGAAGCAAACCGGCCAAATTCAAAACGCCGTGAGGCAGAATATATTTTTAAGTTACATCAAAACTGAAACAACAAAGCACGTAAAATTTTCTTACTATACAAGACTTCAGATGACATTGCTTGTCATGCATAGGAAAACATTGCAAGAAACGTACTTAAGACGATCGGCAATGAATATTTAATGCCAATATTCAAAGGATAAAATGTTCTGTGTACACGAAGATACATTATGAATCAAAGTTAAACGTAACACAAAAACGATACAATACAGACAGTCTCAGCATCAGCAATTCGAAGAAAGCATTTCTATTTTAACCACTACAAGACTGTGGAACTTTTTCAGTGGGAATTTATCGTGTACGATTAATATAAAATGTGCAATAATGTGAAAGTTAAGCTAGAGTAGGTAAAATCTTTCCCACACTTTCCGATTTATAGAGTGTTGCCCATCTCCATTTCTATAGCCGTTAGACTATACAACTGTTCAATAACATTAACATCCAGAAAGACCTTTGCCTGGTTCGTGTAAATCCTTAATGCCTAATTGTGGAGGAAATCCGAGAATTATCGTTCTAAAAGATCGATGTTATCCAACTAGGTTAAAAAAAAAACTTAAATGTGTTACAGACTTCGCGAAAGCTATGCCAGTTTGCATGTAGGTTGCGGCGCTCTATTTAAACTTCATAGCAAAATCCTATCCTTTTAATTGGCTTGGTTTCAAAGCCTATATCCGGATAAAGTTAAAAATATGTTCAAGTTCACGGTCGAAACAGACGACGGTAGTGGTTGGCTGGCAAAACAAGTGAACGACATACAGCCAGCGCCACTGCTCTACTTGTTGTTGTGTGGCCCTAGACAACCTGGGTCTTCTGTTCGTTCGGGTAGGGCGGGCTCTGCTGGGCAGGCGCCGGCACGTAGGCCGGGGGTGCCCCGCCTGGCTGCTGCACGTAGCCGGCTTGTGGGTAGGCGTAGGCATTCGGCACTAATGGCGGTAACAAAATTGTGACTCATTAGAGCTCTTATGTGCACTTAGCAAGATAGCTTGTATTAAGGTATCCATACACATAGTCCGTTATCCTTCTACTTAGAAAATACTAGTAGCACAGTTTAGAGTTTAGCCAACGATATCCGCACTTTTTCAGAATTCGTCAAGCTTTGAGTGTACAACCCTATTTAGTGCAATGCCATATCCTATTTTACAACGGTTGCTGGAAGATTGGCATTTACGCCTGCAAGCTTTTAAAACACACTTCCCAAAGCAGCTTCTGCAAACATCGTGGGCACATGTGCCACATCGTGAAGAGAATGTTACCTGCGGTGGCGGCCATGTTGGGGTTGGGGGGAGCCTGCATGACGATGACGCCTTGGGGCGGAGGCTGGGGGATAAAACACCGTGACTTGTAGTTGTATAGTTCTCAGTGTCCTTTTACTTTTGGCTTAAAAAAAGACAGGCATCACATCGATTGTCGTTTAAACGTTGTTTCTGACTATCTATCAAAGTCATCTTTATGCTAAACTCAGAAGCCTAATTTGCCTTGCACTAGTAAACGACTGATGGCATGTATCACGTCCGCTACAACAGGCAAGATCGAGCAATACAAAAGTACTTTGAGCTCCAAGAAGCTGCTGCAAGTACTAGACTGACTAAATCAAGGTTCTAGTAGCAGCTCTTCCACTGGTCAGGACCCTAGAAACTTCGTGGTCAACTCCTCTATGTCAGGAAAACTGGGAACATCTTAACGATCAATCTGAGGATGACAACAGGCCCAACTATGACCTGGCCTCACCTGCGGGGCGCAGCAGTTACACCCGCCGACCACACAGCCGACGATGGAGGAGGCGAAGCACAGAACCATCTCTATGAAGCCGAACGCGATGCAGGCCCAGTGCATGGAGGCGGCAGCCTGGCACCAGCTATTGTGTGACATACATAGAAAACATGTTTGACGCATAGACTAAGGATATGGTCGGTGTAACAGTATAAACTTTAGTTTTAGACATCTTTCACACCACAGCCGTCTATCAGTAAGACATCATTGGCTGGAGCCGCAAAGTACCCGTTTGGAATTTTTATTCAGTATGTCAGGACCTGTTTTGGGCTTCAAGTGTAATATGGTCTGTTAAACTTAATTAAAAAATTCAAACGCTGTGGAGTTCTGATATGTTCTCGATAACGTCGATGAACGAAAAATTCACACTAGATATATTTGCTGTTGCGTTGATACCAGGCTTTTTTTAGTTTAACAGGGTAGCCTCAATGACTTTAGCAGTTACATACATGTCCATCTCACGACCCTTCCCGATCACCATGTGTCGTGTGTCCTAAACATGTCAACATTTTACCGTGACGTCAACAACTTAGTGTGCAACAACAGACACGGAACAGATCTCGCGACTATCGCGAGAAATGGGGAGAGTTAGACCTCAGTACCTGGCGGCAGACTGGTCACCATGATGTTTGTTCACGGCATCTCGCACGGAGTCGACGAAGCACCACCCCAGGTAGGAGCCCCCCGCGCCGTTGACGCTTTGTTGGGCGATCGTCACGAAGATGCCGACGATGCTCAGCGCCATGAAGGCCGGGATCTGGGGAAAGGGACGTGTCAGGCGTTGGGTCAGCAGCAGGAATGAAACGAGAATTGTGTAAAGTTTGAAACAATGGTTGTTCAACGATCATTTGGACGAAAAATTAGATTGATTTAATCATGAACAGAGGCAAAATTTACATGTGTGTATTTAGATGTCAGTTTCTGTCAGACGTGCACAAATGATAGCGTTCTTGGCAAAGCAATGTGAGGTTGGCAACAGATTTTATTGACTGGCAAAACGTACCACCATGTGATGAACCATGAATCCAGTGGTACTTACGTATCCGTTAGCTCTGCCGTCCTGCCGCCCAAAGTTCCTTCCGGCCATGATACCCATGGCTCCAGTCAGGATGACCTGGACGGGAAAAGTGTGTTTTACTCCCGCAATTTATCCATCCATCCATCCGTCCGTCCGTCCGTCCGTCCGCCCACACATATACACACCCACCCATCCCAGACCATTTTCTCTGCACTAGTGGTAGTCTAGAACTATGAACGTGTGAACTCACGAATCCTCCGGCCCAGAGGGGCGCGCAGATGCGGCTGATGCCGTCCCAGCTGAAGGCTGCCGCCGCCGCGACCCCGAGGATGACGCTGATGGAGCCCAGCACCGCCAGCGTGATGCCCAGACCCGTCAGGGCCTGCCCGTTATTCTTACACATCGTAGGAAAAGGTCAGATACAATCCTAGAAATGTGGAATGTACCAAAGATCATTTTTAGTGAACACAGGTTCCCAGCACAGGTTGCCAATGGGATATGGTGCCACTTAGCATACCAGCAAAATAAAAGTCAAACTATACACAGGGGCACATTTCTGACAACCCAAACTACATTGTAACGTTACATGTAATGCACAACGAAGGGAAGGTACATGTATGTGGTAATCGAGCTCTTGTTATAACATACGGTAAGGTTTCGAAATTTTCCAAATGTTTCAAGACGTCAAGTTCACAAGCATGAACAAAGAGACCGGATGTACCAGTTGCGCTTCTGTGGAAAAACAACAATGACACAGCAGAGACGAAGTCAGTTCGGCGAAAATGTTATGGTGCTGTCCAAGTTATTTGAAACGTCATTGTGTGAAAGGAAATACGGCATAACAACTGCTCGATACGGCCCATATCCCTCTAGATAATTTGAGGGGCTTGTCGTTCGTTCGTTCGTTCGTGAGTACTAGTACCAATTAGCCTCTATCAGGCTTCGGGAAACGACTGGAAGCCTAAAGCCAAATAGAGAGATAACATGCCGAGGGAGTTGGTCCGGGTGCGGCAAATGTACTCTCAAGCGGATCAACTCCTTCGGCATGTTATCTCTCTATCTGGCCAATTTCTAGGCTTTCCAGCCGTCTGCTGAAGCCTGGTAGAGGCTAAGTACCAAAATGTTTACTTTGCCTCAAGTTAGTCGGACTGATCAAGGCAGACAACGTTACCTACGAATCGTTACGGGCTATTTGCACTTGAGCTGTCATGAGGTATTTAGATCCAAAATGGCGTGAGAAGTATATATTACGCAGGTACAAACATGGTCTTTGGATAATCATGTAAAAAAGCTGTAATGTGGGGAGATAGAGTTAGGTTTAGATTACTGGTTCTTGCTTCTCTGCTTTAATACTGAGGCGATCTGCTAGCCCCATGCTACTCTGTAGATTACTTAAATACCTGCTAGATATAATCTAGTGGCGAGCGGAAGGCATTCATGAATAGGCAAGTATTAAACTCCGGACAGAATTTCACCTGCTGTTTCTGGCACGAGAAATACACCAAACTGTCATTTCCTGAGGTGTGAACATGCACCACAAATGTTGGCAATAGAAGTAACGAGCGGTACACCCCAGGTTATGTTGTTCAACAGTGTGCGTGCCTTTTCAAAATGGGCGTCGGTGTAACAAGATATTCATAGACACGACAAGTCTTTCGTTTACACTGCACACCTTTCCAGCGACAAAAAATAACCAGATCCTACGCAAAAGACACCTTAGACCCAAGTCTAGGCTACCAGTAACCGATAAAGACGGTACCTACCTACCTGGACCTGGTAAGTTCGTCAGCACGACTGTTTGTTAGAGAGACAAACACACTTGACTTGCCTGCGGCTTGTGTCAGGTCACTGTAAACCCTGTCACAGCCTGGTACGGTAATAGCCTCACGCAACCTGTAGGCCGTTCCACGCATAGCGCGGATCGGGTTACCTTTAGTAGAGTAGAGTAGATCTTCGGTCATGTAGGATTTTCTTCTCCAGTTTAGACCGCTCCTCATACGGTTGTCATTGTTGGCTTGTGTGGATGGTCCAGTGCCTTGTAGCTGTACTTCACTGGGTGATGTTCCATGTACTTGTCAAACCTTATCTTGAAGGCTGTAACTGTTGGCGCACTGACAACTTCTTCAGGTAACTCGTTCCACCATGGGACTATCCTATTACTAAAGAATAGTAGTCTTTTGTTTGTCTTCGTTGCAATCCTTTTAAGCCGTAAGTTGTGGCCTCTAGTTCTTGTCTCTCTCTGTCTATCAGGTATGCACGGTGTTGTGTCGTATAAACCATGTACAAACTTAAAGGTGTTGATGAGGTCTCCCCGTAACCTCCTGTACAGCAGGGTTGGTAACTTCAGGACTCTCAGCCTCTCTTCATATGATAGATGTTGTATACCCGGGACTCTTTTTGTTGCTCGTCTTTGTACCTGTTCGACGAGTTCTGCTAGTTTCCAGGTACCCGGTGACCATGTAGACACCCCGTACTCAAGATGAGGTCTGATCAGCGCCTTATATAACATGGTAAATACATCTTTGTCCACATGTTCGAAGGTACGCCAGAGTAGACCTGTCATTCTGGTTGCCTTAGAAACAGAAGATGTGACATGTTTGTCGAATAACAACTCATGGTCCACAATTATTCCCAGATCTTTCTCCTGTTTTGTGAATTGTAGGTCCACTGTGTCTGAGTGATGGTTGTCTCTCATGGTGTACTTGTAGTTGGGATGATTTTTTCCAATCCTCATTGCAGTACATTTCTGGGGATGGAACTTAAGTTGCCAGGTGCTGGCCCAGTCCTGTAGCTTGTCCAGATCGTTTTGAAGTTCCTGACAGTCCTGACTTTTACCCACACTACGATACAGTTTGGTGTCGTCTGCGAAGAGTTTCAGCGTGCTGTCGACTACCTCCGGCATGTCGTTTACATATAATGTAAACAAAACTGGTCCCAGTACACTGCCCTGGGGCACTCCACTGCTGACGGGAGCCCAGCTTGATCTGATTCCATGTCCTTTGTCGTGTCTCACCTCGGTTCTCAAGGTTATGCCAGGTAAATGCGAAATTAGGCTTAGTGAAGTTGTTTTGCGCCAAATGAAGAGTTTTGCTCTGCTTGACGTCCCTGCATATCTTGACAGAATCATCAGGTTTCCATGAAACCGATTAAAAATTTTAAGTACTAGTACCCTACACAGTAGATATGGACCCTCCGGTGCTAGTGAGGTGGAATCACATGTGATTTGGTAATACATATTTATAGGTCCGGCTCAGTGTTTTTGTGATGTTTTATATGTCTTTCTAATGGAGCGCGTTTGCAAAGAGGCACAACAAACACTACAAAACGCGTTAACACTGAGCTGAACTCTTGCTAAACGCAAAGACGTTATGTCGCTCGACGTCGGTCGACAAAGAGAACGAAACTCAGGGGGTAGGGAGACCTAACCGTGCTTTTCCTGGCTAACCAAGCCATTGTGCCGGTACAGAAGACATTTTCCTCTCAGCAAATATTTCTTTCCGCACCTTTTAATATACATGTAATAAAATAATGCAGTACCACTACTTCGTTAATGATATCAGCCCGTTTTCATGTAAAAAAAAACAAACCTTAAGTCTATATACATGTAACGTTTTAGTATTAGTAATTTTGTTATGTCGGAGAAAAAAAATGTTGTTCCTAGAAATTATTTGAAAACTGTCGGCCACCAGGTAACGCCTGATATCATTTGCCATTCGTCGGGAATGGCATTATCTACCTCACTACAACTAGCGCGCGTCACCCGAAACCCTTTACGGGGTCGGAAAACACCGAAAATTGACCAAATTAACAGCGTTTAAACGGCTATATATCTATACATAAACACAAACGTAATTAAAATTTGGTATCAGTAGGTGCAGCAAGTCTTCAGCTTATTACCTGTGCTAATAAACCTGAAACTTGTGCAAGTTTTATTCAAATATCTTAAACTGTAAGCGAGAACTAACACAACGGGCGACGCGAGTTTGCCCGCGGAGGCCCGGTACAGCGGATCTCGCGACTGCGGCGATTCGACTGGCGCACGTGCGCATGTTCTGGAACGCCTCTCATTGTTCCTCGTCTTGGGCGGGGACTATGACGGAACAAAGGGGTGTACGAGCATACGTGTGTGGATAACGTCCAAGTGTACACGTACACGTTGAAGCTGAGCTTGTAAGTTCGCTTTTCGACTAATTTTTCGAAACTTTCGCCAAAATGGAAAGTTCTAATAGTACATGTATGTCTTGCTCGCAAGTCAATGCTGTGAAGCTGCTCAAAACACCTTCTTCGGAGGTAATGGCCTTTAGCCCAACTCAGGGCATTAGTGAAACAAAGTTGGTTAAGTTTAAGACGGGAGATCACCAAATGTCGGTGCTGAACGACGTCATGGATGAGCGTACTGGACCCCTCTCTCAGGCCGAAAGCCTACCCAACTTCGTTATCGGAGAGGAGGGAAGCCAACATGCGGTTGTAGCCATAAGAATCAGCACAACCATCATCGACGACGACGTGCCTGTCAAGAAAGTTGGCGTATGGCGTAGGATGTGGAAGACCATGAAGAAGAGCCTGGTGGTGCCTGCCTGCTTCAGGCTGTGCAGACCACGCCGAGACTAGTGTTACTGAAAAAAAAAGTAAAAAAAGAAAAAAAAAAGGAGCAGGCTGTCCAGAAGCAGCCTGGCTGGGTAACGATCTTGGGGAGTCCAGGATAGAAAAGATGCTGGGAGATATAGACCCCACAACTGTTCCTGCCATGCTGAAGGTAAGGCTCAGACTTTCTCCTGGTCGGGAAGCAAATCAGAATTGTTTCTCCTTTGTTTCAGCCCCTTTCTCAGATAGTATTATAGTATTGTATCTGTTTAGATTTCCTTAAAAGCATATTGATTGCAGCCTTTTTGGTGGGATAATGTTGGTCGGCTTGATATGTTGAAACAATGTAACTGTGTACAATATAGCTGAAAAGTCTTAACAGTAAAGCACAATAGTCAATAATGGCAGCGTATGTTTCCCCTCTAGCTATCAAGTAATCAATTTATTTCCTCACTAATTCTCTAAAGTTATATGAGTTTTATAGCTTGGTATCCTGTTGTTGGTACAAAACCATGTGATAGCGGGACGAAGTACTTAGTATCATTCAACAGTGGATCAATGATACAGATTATATTTGGAATATACACAAAAAACTCACATCATAAGCTTGAAAGACGAAGCCATCCCAGTACTATAAGTAAGTTGCTCTTGACTAGACTAAGTCATCCAACATGGTGACATTGGCTTACGATTTTTTTACAATTCCTTGTTTACGGCTTTGTCTAAGTCTAAGGACAGTGGAAGTGTCAATGCTGGAGCTTGTGAACCATCTCCTCCTTAGTGATGAGGTGCGTGGTTTTGTTGACCAGCTGCATGAGCTGGTTCAGGTTGTGGGACCACTCGTTCAGGATGTCGTTGGGGTCCTTGGGTCGAGCAAACGTCACCACGCCGTCCAGTCGGTCAGCCTTGGCGTACACCGTCTTGTCCACCACAAGTTTGGACAAGAACTCTTCTGTCTCCTGTTGGGGAAGAAAAGAAAAACAGTGAGGGGAATGGTAAATTTCACAATACATTTTTGTAATTGCAAGCTATCAGAAATCTTGAGAAGACACTACACTGAGAAGACTTCTTTCTAAGACTTCAAACTGCTGGTATTATATGACATCAAACATTGGGAGTATCTTCATAAGACTACATGCAAAACGTATGCATATGTTATCTAAAATCTGATATATCCCAAAATAATTTACAGAATTCTTTCTAAGACTTCAAACTATTGGTATCATATGACTTCAAACATTAGGAGTATCATTATACGACTACATGCAAAAAGCATGCATGTTATCTAAAATATAATATATATCAAAATAATTTAACTCACAAAACTTTCTAGTTTGCGTGAGAGAAGTTAAGAGAAGTCATCATAAATACATCATTGGTGGTTATAAACATCAAGTAAACTTACGTCCTCAGATAGGTCCAACAGCTGGGCCATTCTCTTCATGGTGATACGGGTGTAGTACTTGGCCATGATGCGGATGTTCTGTAGAATGACAACAGAGGATTGTCATGTAAGACAGCATTGTTACATTTCCTGGTTGAACTTGCAATTTTTGTTATTGCAAAAGTACCCAGGTGCAACCTGTACCTTAATGCCTGGGTCAATAATCTAAGGGACAATCGAAAAGTACTGTCATGACCAGGTGATTTGTATACAGAGACAATTACTAGTACAGGTTTGACTGTTTTCCACCAAAAGACAGTCTATTGGTGTCCTGACACTCACATGTTCCACTACTCTGTTGCGGAGTTCGGCCCAGCGCTTGTCCCCTGTCTCAGTGTGTGGGAAGATGTCGGTAGCGGGGCTGTCTGCCGACCCCTTTCTCAGCTCCTGCTCGTAGATCTCACACACAAAACCCCAACGCATCAACTCAGCCGTCATGAAGTTCTTCAGTAACTCCCTGAACACAGTCCAAGTGAAAAAATGGTCATGTTCGATTGGTAAGCTTTATACTGAGAGGGTAGTCAATATAAATGATGCATCTCAAGGAAAAAATCTTGGATTGAAAATCATTCCTTAGACCTACTTGTATTTTGGAATCTCCTCCAAGTTCTTGTCTTCATAGACGCGATGAAGCAGGTCTGACTGTTCATTATCGTACGGTGACAGCACCAGGTTCAGCACAACACACTTCAAAGCCTGAACATTAGAATAAAAGACACAAAGTTCAAGTGCTCATTACAGGTGTGGCTTTTTAAGTGAAACAAAAAAATTCACAATTCTAATTACAGATGCAGAAATCATGTACACCTTCCAGGGCTCGAAATAATTTTTCGGATACATGCAAAATTGCACGTTGGCTGAAGTTTTAGGTGCAATTTGAAAAATTCACGTGCAAAATGATATTTAGTCAGTTTGCAACTGTTTTACTGTGTGTTAACTATCTTAGCCTGCCACAGCATAAAGAAGTTTATATTTGTAAAAAAAAATAAAAATGAAAAGCCTTATTTATTTGAAACAAGAAAGAACCTTCAGAGATACACAGTGCAAACATGATGTATCAGTACTTTCTAGGTGCAAAATTGCCATATTCAAAATACTTTTATGTGCAAATCTTGAAAATCATGTTCATTTTGCACATTGCACATGGGATCCCTGCCTTTACACCAAACATGTGAAGATGGGTTCATATGGTGTTCTACCTGTTGCCACTGCTCCTTGTTCTCCTTCACTGTGTCTGTTTCGTAGATGGCCCTGTAGTGTTTACAGATCTGCAGGTACGAGCCCTCGTGTAGGTCCAGTTCAACCATCAGCTGGTAGTACTTCAGCTTCAGCTCCTGCAATCCAAATGTCAAAATGTCACTTACACTCACTATCCAGTTTAGCATCTGGCAAAATCAGCAAAAAGATAGCATGTGCCTGCATCTGCTGTGCCGCGTGCAGTTATAACATCTATACAGATACAGATGTAGGGTAGTTTCTTTTGTTTTTCTTTTCAGATATTCAATACAGATTCTAAAAGATTCATTGTTCTTTCATATCCAGAGACCTGACTCTCTGACCCTTAGTTGTTTCCATATCCCTTCTCCACCCTATGGAAATTGCCATCAGCTACAGCATTAAGCTCTGACACTTTTTTGTTGTGTAGAGAAGGCTCACCTCTGTATCCTTCTCTGAGAAGACCTTGGTGTTGATTTTCTTGCTGATGATTTGTGTGCGGATGTAGTCTTTCTTGGCCAGGCACAGCCGCATCTGTTCAAGGATGAATTCCACCTTCTCCTTCTTCTCCATGGAACCAAACGTCTCCACCTATAAACATAGTGACAATAACGTGACGTAGTTGACAGAGAAACAGTCACACACTGTGATAGATGAACCATTGGGACTACAAAAAAGACTATGTATTTCATCCGTGAATAGTTTCATCTGGTTGGTAAGTCACTGAATAAAGAGATTCTTATTACAGACTCTTATTACACAACCAAGAGGTTTATTCAGATTTGTCCTGAGGAAGGTGACAGACGGTCACTGAAACATCAGCTAAATAAACCTCATGGTTCTGTAAAATGAGTCTCTTTATTCAGTGCTATGTACTTCAGTAGCATAGATAATCAACATGCAAGTTACAAGTAGATTTTTCAATTGGAACATAGTGGAAAGAAATCTGTAGTATCTGTCTCAAAAGAGTGCACATTCAGAATTTCCGACTTTTACTCACCTGTAGATCTTGCAGTACGTTTGCAGCCTCAGTAATGTTTCCCTCGTCCTCCTTGATCTTAGCTAGAATACGTGTCAGTCGGGCCCTCTCAATCTCTACATAGATCTGGTGAGTAGACAAATTAAAATTGATACACCAACTGACTTGAAAAAAAACAACACTGTATTAGAACATATCACACCTATAACCTTCAATTCTATATACAGTACTTAGTGTAAATTCTTTGACATTTGTATACCCTATTTAACAGCCTACATGGCAGACATATCTTGCAAATTCAGCTAATTAGAATACTAGTAACTGGTGAAGTTGAGATATGCTTGGCTGCTCACCTTCCCTTCGGTGACTGTCCTGAGGGTGTCGATCAGTTTGAGTTTGGTCTCCATATTTGGTGTCTTGTCTACATATGTCACTGCCTCCTGCACCATCTTGGTAATCGCCTAGACAACAGTGTGTTAGAAGAATACAGTCTTCAATGTCAGCACAGAAGGAACTAAAAACTATCTTTGAACTATATTGGACTTTACCTTAAGTTATCTCTGGTTATCATCGTCACATGAATGTGACAACTGCTGGTTTCTTTATCGTTGATGGTCCAAAAAGTTTCCTATCAGAAAATAGCAACAAAGCGACTGTCTCAAAGTAAAGTTGGAGACTACGTCTGGTGAAAAAATAGATGTAAAACAAGGACAACAACGACAACAAAGTTTATCCCACCTGCTTGAGCTGACTTCTCCTCTTGGACAGAAGGATGATGTTCTCGTTCAGAGCCTCCCAGTTGTTGCGTTCAAAACACAGCTGGACCACCTTAACCAGGATCCGAGCTGTGGAGTGCATGTCGGCTGCCTGGGGTGGAAACATGGGTTCAGTTAATCCAGTTATATGGCCAATTGCCATGAAGTCATGGACAGTGTCTGGCGGGCAAATAGTGGGTAATGGCTGGCTGATTTGCCAAGGAATAATTTGCATATGTCTTCAAATAATTTGCATATATAAACAAAAACAGTGATAGCTCGTATTGGTCATGGATAGGACAGGACTCCCAGGAGGGAAGGGCAAGGCAGTAGCCTGTCATGTCCCCAAAAAATTTGTCCAAGCACACCAGGACACTTTTACTTTTCACATCTGTTGACTGTTGAGATTGGGTTTGGTGTGTTTAGCATACAGGGGTTTGAAGCCAGAGTCTTCTCCATACATGGTACTGAGGCTCAATTAAAAGATGAACAAGCATAGCAAGTTCTAAAATAAAATATGATGCAGGTGTATGAGCACACTAAAGAAGACTTGGCTATTGATACATGCACTGAGGTACAGGGAGGAAATTGATTATTGAACCTTACCGTTCGTGTCTGCTTCTCCAAAGACAGTAGAATGTCCAGGGCTTCTTGCAGCTTGCCCTCCTGTTGGAGAAAAAAAAATGATCAGTTGACAGATACTCACATCAGAATATAAGTGTTTGATTAAAATTGAACGATTGTCACAACAAGGAAACAGGGTTAGGTTAGGTTCCATCCGTTTCACCCTTTGTTACATCGAAGCTGGCAACAATACATGACGTCCCTACGAGTCTATACTTACAAGAAATATGTTACACATAGAAGTGCACTTTTTTGTAGTCCGTTACGACTACTGTAGCTGTGATTATAATTTTTCTCTAACTTAGTCTAAGTCATAATCGTTCCACGTGGGGGAGGGGGGCAGACTGACTTGCACATTTTCGTCTGACACTAGGCGTCGTTTTCAGCTAAGTACTAGGGACCAATACACAAAGGAAACGTTCACACAATTCAGTGGCAGCTTAAGCGAGTTTACCTTGGCAAGGTTTTCACATATAGGTAGTTTTTCGTCCACGGTGGCGCTATAATCCACCTCCATCTTCGTCGGTAATCTGCCTTCGTCCGCCATGTTGCTGCTGTTGCGGGTTTCAAACGTATCCCAGAATGCTCTGTTCTTCAGCAAGGGACAAACCGCTCATCAGGGGACAAACCGTTTAATATATTGGAGGGGGATTTTCCAACGAAAGCTTCGAAGGAAAACTCTCGAAGTTCCCTACAGTACAAAAAGTACCTGATTTTGTAACGTTACACATAAAATATTCACACAACAGTAGTTTGACCAACCAGGATTTATTATAACCACTCAGCACCCCGAATGTACAAATAATGAAATCTTTTCTTTTCGCAAAGGGACTTTGTAAAATGTAATGGACTTGCTAGTGGTCCTCAAGTTCATGTATGTCTTCTTACTGTGTAATGCTACACAAATAATCATAAAATCCATTTTAAAACCTCTCATTTCAATGATAAAGAAATTAACAAACAAAAAAAGAACGAGCGAATGCCAATCGTAAATTGTAAACTTCGTAGAGATATTGTTACTTGATCATGACAATAGCCTGACTAAATTTAATCTGCGCTCCTAGCGGCCGGCCCGGTATTACACCAGGGGCGGCTGGTGAAATACCGGGCCGGCCGCTAGGAGCGCAGATTTAGTCAGGCTAATCATGACAACAGGTGGAAACAAAGATCTAGTGTGCCAAGGAAGTCGCGGTGGGAACTTGAAATTTCAGTGTCATTATAGTCACTATTCCTACGTGCTGACATCCCCAGACAGCGATAAAAGCTTACGAAAGTTTTTTTTTTTTTTCGATGATCCTTTCATAGCAACGGTGGTATCAAAATCTGCAGTTCGCCACGAGCGCCTCTATGGTTACTTTCCGATGATTCAACTCTCCAGCCGAATGTATTTCCAAATGTTTTCCAAGTCTTTACGTCGCATCGTTCACCGCCAGTCACGTAAAAATGTATGTCAGGATGTAGACGACAACGCACACCAGTCCTAAACACATGAACCGCACCACGACAGAATCCTCACTCCCTATAAGAAAGGGAACTCCATGGCCTGACTTCCATTGGTCTTCTCTCTGTCGCTTTAGCTGGACAAGAAAAACAAACAAACAATGAACTTGGGTATGGGATCACATCAAAAGTCCAAAGTACAATGTCGTTCTTTTAATGTACTACTGTAACAGTAGTAAGTTGAATCAACCATATCTCGTAGCATACTAATGATCACTATATCTGTGAGGCAAAAACACGATGTCACTGAAAATGGTTGCTTGTATTATATCTCTATAAATAGGCTGGTTCTAGTTATTTATGTCTGCCGCTTCCCAAAAGCTAAAAAAGAGATGCGTAACGTAGCTTGTTTCTGTGTTATTTCAAATGATTCAAGTATGAAATGATGACGAAAATGTGCTAATATTTCCTCATCCAAATTTTTTTTCTGTTTGGTCGCCCTGAAAATGCATTGGATGAAACTCTTTTTACCTGCTGAAGCACACGTCGGTTGATCCGGATCTGTTGTCGCAGCCTGGTCCGAACCTGCTTCACGGTGTCCCGCATGTCTGGGTCCCGGGGCGCCGTCCTGGGCAGGGCCGTCTCTCTCATCTCGTTCACGGTGTTGTCTTGGAAGCCAACGTCACTCTCCGTCATCTCAGCTCGGACTCGAATAACGTTCTACTAGTGACTGAGTTTGCACAAGCCGGACACCAAAACCTCGACAGCTTTCCGCCCACTCGATCGGCAGTGAATGTTACTACTAGTAGTAGTACAGCAATCCACTAGTGTCGTGCAGCTAGATATAGCGTCCTAACGCCAGTAACGCAGCCAGGTAAAATTGCGCCAAACTATGAATTACAAAAACTTCAATGCTCCAAAGCACCTTACTAAGCTGACAGCTAGACTCAGGCTACAGCTCTGGTGCACGGTGTTAGTCCGGGCCCGGCGACAGTACAATCTTACAAACGCAGCAAAGCAACTTCGAATTGTCAAGTGTGTTCCAATCCACACTGGCAGAAGATTTGTACCCACGCTCGTAGGGTTCTCAGACAGCTACTTCAGCTCGAACTTGTCCTGACATGAACCCAAGAAACAATGGGTGTTGTTGATTGCTCTATTGTTTTTGGTGTTAATCTTGTATCACCTTGGCTCACCTTGGCGCGGATGTAGACAATACAAGGTCCTCGGTCAGTAATTAACAACTGTTATTTGGACTTGCTACTCGCGAGAGGACTTCGTTGTAACGTTATTTGGTTCTTCCAGGCTCCGTGTGAGGTTTTTGTGCGTTTCTCGGTTTAATTGAAATAACAACGTTATGTTCAGAAGAGGACCGTTCCAAATGTTTGACATATTATCTCATACTCAGTCAGAATATATGCTGAGTGACTTTCGGACTAACCGAGTCAGGTGCTTGTGTGTGTATAACATGACTGCAGTACGAAATAATTCCGATGGAAGGCGCTTCTGAGTGCACGTCCAGAAAAACACACGCCGTAAAATGGACATGCGTCACACTCACAGGATGCCTGCTTCCTCACGGGATTTTGGTTAGATTACGTCATATGAACTTTGACGGGAGGTGAAAGTTAACGCGTTCAGGAAATGTGGAAAACAATTTGATCTGTATGAGACTACAAGCCCACACACCAAAGACCACCAAAGGCAAAGCCACTTGTAGTGCAACTTATGCCGAGCTCAGGAGGCGTCGCTTTCTGTTTTTGCTGCCGATGCTTGGCCGATTTTTACAACAATCTCCTTGTACCACGGAGGCCGGCTATAATATATAAACTCCTTGTACAAAATAAATATGTCAAGGAGGTTACCATAAGGCATAACCTCCTTGCTTATGTGTTGTTATATCTAACGCGTTATAACTATAACGTTATAAGCTAAGTTGAAACGTTACACTATTTCAAATGATTAATATATTTCTATTCGCGTGACCACATTTGACAGTACCACTAGGTTCTTCGTGTCTAATTATGACCCTGGTATAATCGAATAACGTTGTAAATGCTTCAAGTGTTTCAGTCTCATTTGGTGAACCACTGCGTCTGTCATATTTATGACCTTGTTATACAGCTTGCTAGGGTAATGAATTACATGACCTTGAGACATCGTGACGCTAAAAATCCAAAAGATACAAAGCAGGCCTTTGTCACATTTACCAATAAATTTCTACTCGAACCTTTTGAAGTCAATTGATGCTATAGATAAGTCAAAGAACACGTTTCTCATGATATAGCTAACACGCCCCCCTCGCGTAACGTCACGTTGGTATGGTCTAATGCAGCCCACGTGACTTTGTTTCCCCCGTACAGGAGTCAGCAGCAGGCCGGTCCAGGAGAAGTCAGGCAGCCGAAGGCCGTCCTCCATCACAACACCGCCTCCAGTCGGCCCTCTCTCCGTTTGTGGGGAAACCCGCCACCTCTTCCACATTCCTGCTGCATGGAGACAGCCCTGCCGTGCTTCAGATAGCCCCGGATCGCGCCCAGACGTCCGCCCAGCACCCATTTCCTCCGTCCGGTCCGGCCCGTACCGTGAGAGCCACCATGCTGATGAAGGAGTACCGCATCTGTATGCCTCTAACGGTAGAGGAGGTAAGTCTGCCGGCATTTCCCTCCCGCCTTCGCGACATTCGGGCGGTATTCTCTACACGATCCCGTGCACGTAGCGCTGCCGAAGCGCCTGCCTTTTGGCTAGAGGTTACAGGAAAAATGGAATCGACGATTTACAGCTGTAGGCAGGAGGTGATACTCCATGTCATCTCCGACGATTTTCGGGAAAGGACCTTTCCGGGTCAGTGCTTTTAACAGCGAGGTGTTCACGGCTATAGCGGGATGGGGACAAGGTGAACACATTAATGTGCCATGAACGTTGGCCTGAACCGTTCTCTTCATTTGCACCATAAACCGTAAAGGTATACCATTGGGATTTCAGCGGAAACTTGGAGATTAGAGATTAAAAGCGAGAGAGAAATCTGGGGGCAGGTGTATGACGCCCCCATTGTAGGTGATGTTGTTTTGATCGTTCACGTACATGTAAAGTCAGCAGTACTTCATACATGTTAATGTATGACTGCATAAAGTTTCTCAGATGGTGGTAGTTTGATATTGATATGATCAATTCACAATTATAATGATAATAAATCTAACATTATGGCTGTAAGAATTGAAATTTTCTAAAAAGCAGTGTTGCCAAATTAAGTGCAGTCAAATTTTTTACCATCTATTATAACTATCTATCGTAGAAAAGATACCAGGTAACCTCCTGGTAAAAAATATATTTTGTCCCTTTAAGTTTTAATTAAGTTGCCTCTTGACATACTGAGCTGGTCTCAAGGGATAATCATATGTTGGAGTAAATTTAAAAGTCGCCAATGACAGATCATAGCTTTGTAATGTCATATGTACAAATCTACACTACATGTGTATTGAAAGTGTCATAAAAAAGGAAACAAGAATCAGAGAATCAAATCGATGTGGCTCGAAGCTGAAAGACAATATAACTAAAGTATAAGGCAATTTGTGCATTGAAAATTAGTAAGCTTGCCTTTACTGTCTATACATGTACAGTATAGTTTCCCGCCAGTATTACAGGCTTAAAGATAAAGTGATTTAACAGACATGACCTTATATGTTAGGAGGACTGGGCTATGTCGACAGCTGGCCTTGGTCATATGATTTATAAAAGGTCTAAAAAGGCATTAGGGCATCCTTTAAAAGCCTAGAGCTTCTCGGTCGCAGCATGGCAAAGTCCCTGCATTAGCCTTTTGGGCAGTGTGCAAGGCTCTTCCCTGATAATGGAACAACCAATATTAATGAGAACAAAATAATGCCTGGTTCCCATGGTTATATACATATGGCTATCCACATTATATACTTCTTATCTAACAACAGTAGGTTCTTTTGTACTATAATCTGTCTGTTGTGTGCCTAAGGCTATTCAAGAATACTTGAATATTTTATGACTTCCTCCTCCCTCAACCACTCGCAGGTACTGCGTTTACCTTCCTTAGAATTTAGATAAGAAAGTAAAGGAGTGTTTCTAAAGAGAGAAAGATTGAAGCCACAACACTGTGGTTAGCACTTAGTTGAGGCAGATTGAACACCTGTATTGGACACCCCGTGGGAATGAACTAGCTGGACTTGATTGTAGCAATTCACTATTGCATTGGTATGTTAGGGTATGTGCGTATGTGATGAAGATTTTTTACATTCTATCAGCAAGTTTTTAAGGAAAGAAGTTGAATTAGCCAGCTTTAAATCAGCATCTTGAAACAATTAAGGTTTACTAGTCGACAAAATGTTTGGTCACTTATCATCCTTATTCTGCCCTTTTAGTTCAAGTCTAAGAACTGAGTTTTGATTTGATTTGGCTTGTTTATTTTCTTGCCCCTATAGGGGAAGGGAACCTGCTGTTGTTTCAGGTCGTGCTTGTCCCTGGCTACTTACAGTCATAACACATGTCAAATACCCATTTGTTTGTATGCCACTGAATGTACATTGTATGCATGCTGCAGACACATTCTGTACATACTGTGGGGATTAGTGTGGAACAGTTGTCATATAGTCTTTCCTGGACTCACACACAGACAGACAGACAGACAGACAGACAGACACACACACACGCACACACATGCATGTACACACACACACACAAACAGACATGCATACACATACACAGACGCAAATACACATTGGTTAACCATTAAGTTTTGGAGAAGATGCCCTTGTGACTACAAATACAGTGTACAATACATATGAATTTTTCTGAATAAAGCATTATCAATCACACAGTAATGCACAATACCTGTTGTCAGTACCTGTGATCGTTTATTGTTATTATATGAAAAACACAACTACACTGTACGTATGCTGAGTGGTATAACAGCTGTGTTATCTCCAGTCCAAACAAACTATATTTTTCCTTACCTTTGTTTGACTAGGCAAAAGGCCAGAAGTGCCCACATAGCCATCCAGGTCAAAATTGCCAAAGAGTTCAGTGAAATGATTTGTTTTGATTTGAGCTTCATTCTACGTTTGTCCACTAACATTTTTGGCAAGGGTCAGAAGTAGGTTTTTCTTTCACAAGTAATTGCAATTATGTAGTCTCATCCTTTGCTACGTAGCATGTTTCCTATGTGTACTTTGATAGTCCTTGGCTTGTAAGATTTGACCATGCACAAAAATGGTAGCCTGGTTACCAAATCTATTATTATAGCTCCCGAGGCCTACATCCTATTTGCGGAGAGGATTCGGGAGCTATAATAGGTTTGGTAACCAGGCTACAAAAATGGATAATCTTTGTATTTGTGCAATTATTATTACCACTGAACATGAAATTACTTTGTATATAATATCATTATACCCATTTCTTATGAGCATATATTATTTTACACCCACAAATTTTTCACCAGCAGAAAGAAATGAAACTTGCTCCCATTTGAAATGCTTCTCGTATTTCTTTTGACGTAACAAGGCTGTTCATTTGTTGATTAAGTGGCACAGGATGCAGAAGTGACAAGAAGGGATTGAATACACTTTGCAGTTTTCTGTTCCTGAAATGTGAGCCTGCTCTGGCTGTAAGGCAAGAATGTGTCAATCTGTAAATTGCTTGCTGTATTATATTTGATCCGAAAAAAATCACAAAAATTCAATCAAATTTGACCCCTCTTAATAGATGTAGGCAAATAATTAAACGCAGGATGATGATGTAAAAGACGTTTTGGCAACAAAAAGATTTGGCAGCGTTGTTAAGTCCACAGCCAGGGTCACACAGCATGAAAATAAATTACCCAAGGAGTATACGCAAGTCTAAAATGGCATTTTCAACTGGTGACTTCATGATCATTGCTCAGTTTTTAGGGAAATTCAGACAATATTTGCAGGTCAGATAGAGATGAAAAATGCACTTGATTGTCTGGTGATTTCGAAATTCAGTGACCAGCAAATGTACAAACTTGCTTCAAATTCAGACATGAAAGTAATGGCTGATGTTTGAGGACTTAGTCCCACTGGTCAATACAATGATTAACCTTTGAGACCATTCAGTAGGCATCAAGAATGTGGCACAAATTGTAAACAAAAGCTACTGGATGCAAATATGGCATCAACTTACCTGTACCTGTACCTGTGTTGCATTATTTATCAGTTGAACGGTTGTGTCCTGCAACATTTTACTGTTTACATTTTACTATACACTATTATAGTGTATATGCTATTTGATTCAATTCAATCGGAGCAACAGGTTTAGATTTAGATTTGAAGATTGAATTTGTGCCGTGGTTTCATGTTTTCCACTAAAATTTGTCTATCAATTTCAATGCCTCCTGATAAACCTGGTGTCACAATCAGTTGTTAATGGTATTCACTATCTGATATAGTAACCAGATGTACCTTTTTTTGTGAGAAAATTGACTCCAATTTTGTTGTTCAACAACATGAATTGTTCTGACAGGCTACAATCATTAATGATGAAAATGTGCAGGTGCTTCCCTAGATCTGCAATTGCAGAGTTCACATTTTGTAACCTGTAATAATCTTAACCATCCAAATGTCACAAAGGTAAATGTCACAAATATCTTAATTTTGTTTTGAACAGTTAGGACTTAGCAATGAATATGTTTAATCTCAAATTCAAAACCAGACGTAATACCAATAGAATTCTGTACATAAAGGCATACAATGTAGTTACTTTCTAAGCCACGTTCAAGGAAGGTAGGGAGGGTCACACTTGTAGTCTCAACAGAAAAAGGACCAAAAAGCAATATAAGACTACGAGTGCATTTCACAAAGATTGCTGTACAATTTTTAACCCAGTTATAGGACACTAATAGGTATAACGAGGCAAATGAGGCAATGACTTGATCAGCTATATAGTTCTGCTGGTTTATCAAATTTTCTTTATATTTGCATGTGATGTAATTTTGTGAATCAATTGAAATAACTTGGGCGCCTAATAAAATTTGTCTCCAACTTTCTTGTAGCTAGAACTCAGACTTAGATCTGTAGGTTCTGGTATTATGAGGTACAATACATTTTGTAGGTCTGTTTATCTTTTAAAATAGTGTGAAAAAAAGTATGATCCTCAGTGTGTTTCACATTTGTACATTTTGTTTCAGTAATAAATACTCTATATTAATTATTATTAATGATTCATCAAATACAAGCATATCTCTTCTTAATGTTATTGCCTGAAGCTGCTTGTTAGTTCACTCACTGATCTTCCATTTTGAAGGCAGGTTAATTTGTAATCTTGGAGAGTATTGGGTTGTTTGGCCTTTTACAAAAAGCCAAGATGTCACGGGGAGTAAAATGTAAAGTTGTTGGCATACGTGATGTGACAGTTTCTACAGCTGTGTTTGGGACAGCTATGGCGACATAAACATCGCTATAATTAACGTTACATCTCCATGGAGACGAAACACGTCATCTTTACATGACCGCCATGCTGATTAGCTGCTTGTCCAGTAGCAAGATTATAAAGCTTTTAACTTTAATGGCTGTTAAGGAGGTGTTAATGGCATTGCTTGTCTGTAGCTGCCATGAACACTACAGTTGGCTCTGTCAAGTTTAGTCACCTTCACCTTCTCACACTCTTGTTTTCAAGTTCGGGGACAACAATGGTTGCTTCCACTGGCTTCTTGTATGCGTACAGTCTGCTAGTGACCTGCCTGTCCAGTCCTTGATACTAAGTTGGAATCCATTCCTTATTTTAGCTCCAGCCCATCATAAGTTGATAAGGCCAACAGGGATAAATACCAGGCCAGTCAAGTTAGATGAAAAATATTTGTGTTTATCAATATTGCATTAAAAATGTACAGTACTGTAACATTGTGATTTGAAATCATCTGAGTCAGCTGAAGCCTATTTGACTAATTGTTGGTTTTAGGAACAGAAATATCAATCTGAACTGTACAGTGTAAAAGCTACATGAAAACAGAGACTCAGGAGAAAGTCTGTACTACTAGTACTAAGTGCCTTGGTACACACAATATCAGGTACATGCAGGGAATGTAGTCAGATTAAGTCCTCCGACGAGCCACCTGTTTTCATGATACATTCTGTTTTGGCCATTAGTCATCGAGTGAGAAAAGACATTAATCAACCTGCAGTCTCCTCAGTTTACCCAAGCACACTGGGTCACCCCTCTTCCCGATAAGTGTGTTGGGTTCTTTAATGTTGCTGAAATGTTGATGCTAAAATGGATGCAGTAGTCAGCTGCATAGTGCACATGTATGCATGTGTGTGTAATGACAGATGTCCCCATGGTTCAGTGGGGCACACCCAGCAGCTGTGGAACTGCAGATAGCACCTAATGACTGAGGTTGTGGCATAGAGGATGGGGGGAGCACTTAATACATGGCAATCTCCTTACCTGCCGTATCCTCCATTTCTTTTTATAATGAACGATGATTAGTTGTTATGATTATCATAGTGAAATTTGAAAGCTCACAATACTCATAAAGTATGGAATAAAAGTTATGAGTATACAGATGTGTGCACAATTGGAATGGCACAGTCAGATTTGTCGTATGCTATCGTATCATTTTGATATCACAGGACTTGAAAATCCGTTTTTTTCAAGGGGGCTGCTGAAAAGAATCCAAGACAGCCTTTTCAGTATGAAGACAGATGAATTCAACATTTTTGTTACTATCCCAAGAATGCCATCTGTTTGCGACCTCCCAGGCCTTTAGTGCTATATGATGGAGAGAGAGAGACAAAGTATGCGGACTTTATTGAAAAGGCTCCATTCAGTGACAAGAAGAAGGAATGCACTACCCATATTTGCACCTGCTGTAGCCAGGAGCCTGAGATGATGGATAAGACAGGCTGAAGTGACTGCTGTTTGCTGAGGTCAATCCAGGACAATGTGTGGTGCCTGCCTCTCCAGACTGCATCCATTATACGCAAGTCAACAGAACATCCTAAATGTCTCCATCCTAATTTGGTCTGACTCTTCTAGTGGCACTATTTACTTATTTCATTACTTTACAATTGGTTCACTTGGGGATAAGCAGATCAAGCAGTGGAGGGGGGGGGGGTAGTAGTGCCTGGTATTCTTTCATTGGCCACCATTAACAATCAACCAATGAATCTCTCTCTGCCATAAAACAGAAGGCTACCATGCTTTTAAATCTGATCGCAGAGGTTCAAGAAGGCAAAAGAAAGGAATCTTTGCCCCTGCTAATTTTATGCCTGGAACCCCTGTTACACAATGTAGTCTTATTCTTATACTTCAATACTGTACAAGCTTGACAGCAGGTAGAGTGTATGAGAGTCACAAGATTGTTGAAATCCAGTTTCAACCAAGAGTCTCAATGGTTAGTTGGTTACCCGGTATTCTTTTTTTTCAAGGATGATAAGCACACCCTGCCACACGTGTGTGAGGATGATAGACCATCAGGATTATCTCTTGAGCAGATTGGGCTCTTGATGAACCTCTTAACATGTCAAGGGGAATGCACTCATCCATGTGTACATGTGCTTGACTTGGTCAAGATCTGCACTATGATAACACAATCCTAGGAGTACTAGTTTTTTTGCTAACTTGTGCATCCTGGTTTCGATGGCAGGAGAGATAAATGGTCAGCAGTTTTTTAATGTTATAATCTATTGCAGTACAACTTGTTTCTAGGCACCTTCATTCCTTTTTTATGGGGGTGGCCGATGGGGTCATGTACAAAGGTGTCAGTCTGAAGGCACTTGACTTCTAAGCAAATCATATCTAGGAAAGCTGAGTCTTCATATCCTAGGGAATATACAAAATAGTACCTAAGGATGGTGACATATATTTGGAGGGGGAAGTGGAAAGATAATTTGTATATGAAGAAAAAGAACTCCCTCTACACTCCATACAACAGTAGTGATGCTTATCCATGTATGGTTACTTGAACTCGGTTAGTGGTAGGCACATGTACCTGTAGCTGTAGATCTAGATGTTGACTATTATACTGAACATGATTAACCCAGTAAGATGTGTATGTACCCTGTCAATCCTGCGCACCACATGCACTAAGCCATGTCCCACATAACGGTTCCCCTGCCATATTAGTCTATCCTCCTGGGAAGATGATGAATGCGTGATTAGGACTTAGACTAACAAGGGTACCAGGAGGCTACTCATTATCACACAGATCAACATCTCCATGGCTACTGACTGATAGTTGTGGCTGGTATGGGGTTATCATCATTAATAAAAACATCCATAAGGAGGGACTTAACTGCATGCCATGTAGGGAGATCCTACGGTCAGGAATGTGAAGATATGTGTTTCTCAACAGGGTTCACTGTGTATATGGTGAGGAAAAGTGATTTGTTGTTGAAACCATGTGGTCACTAAAATGAAACAACCCTACAGCGTATGTACAAAATGACTACTGGTAATAAACTAGTGGATGTCACCCACAGCCTTTAATTAATAGTACCAGAGCTGTCTACCTGGGACTGAGGTGTTTAAAAATTCTTTTTTTCACCGAACTGTCAAAGAGTGGAACTTGTTGCCACCAAGAACAGTAGGGGCATCCTTACTAGATAGCCTTAACAAACGCTTGTAGCTAGATGTACAAAGGTTAAGTGTGACAGGTGTAATATAACCAGCTGCTGCCGTGCCACATGCCTTTGAGGGTGATATATTGCTGAAGGACAATTTAATATATATTTAGGCTTTATAGATAAACAAAGCGGGGGACAGCTTTAGTGCGATCCAATTTACAGCAGGCATTCGTGTTTTAATACATTTCAATGTCAATTCTATAGGTACCATGTCTTGTGATAAGACTTTATGAAGAGCAGTCAATATAATTATAAATCAGATCAACAAACTCAATTATTTTCTAAAAAGTTGGCAGATATGCTGTTCCACGTGTGTTATTTTGTCGCAATCCAAATGAAAGAAATGTTCCCATCTATATACCTGTTAAGAGTTAACATGGTTGTTTTGCCCTGCAGTATACTAGATTACATGTAAGATAGGATAGCTGTACATGTTGTGAAAGCCGTTCTTACATGTGTATGATAAGTTAACACTGTTGTTGTTCTGCCCTACAGTACAGGATAGGACAGCTGTACATGATTGCCAAGCACAGCCAGGAGCAGAGCATGAAGGGGGAGGGGGTGGAGGTGGTACGCAACGAGCCCTGCGAAGACGAGGAGCACGGGAGAGGGCGCTACACGGAGAAGAGGATTCACCTGTCCAGGTACGGGGATTCTGTAGATCGATATCGACTCCGCAGTAAATTTGAATAATTGGTACGATGCTTTAGTCCATTAGTGGAAGATTTGGTCGTCTGACCATTTGGGTGCCATTACCAGTGAAATACTCAATACATCATCAACACAGTGAACAGCAGGGTGGCATGTGGAATAGCAGAGTTTATATCAAGACATTAGCCAGAAGTGTGAGAGCACTTTGTTCATTAGGTAGATCTTCTATCATACGTCTATTTTTATGCAAGTAATATTATGGAAGTAGTACTTTTTGAACTAATTTGTAATTTGATAAAATAGATTTTACCGACATCAGCAGATAGTAGAATTCACTTGCATTTGCCAGTGAGAAAGATATTTCTCAGAAACCTAGAGGCAGAAGCAGAAGCAATTAAAGTGTTTACATCTATCTGCTGCCCAGGCTGGCGGGTGCACTGTCAGGGCACATCACAATCTCCACTCATAAGCCTGAAATAATTGTAGCTTCAAGTCATTTTACTGGAAACAATAACATGGCCCATCACCTACATGTATATGAGCAAGCAGACCGACCAACATGATGTCTATCAGTTGGAAGAAAAATGTGTATATGTACAGCAGTGTGCTGGTGGAATGTTAACTCTTATTTCTGTGAATGTACAACATTTTTTCTCGATGTTACCGGTAGTAGTATTTATCAGAGTACTGATAATAAGTGTACAATGTAGATGAAGTTTATAATAAGGAGATGCAGGATTTAGCACACGCCTGGAGGCTCCAACTTTGAAGCAAGGAATATAATTTCACAGTGAAGAAAAAAAACAACATAAAGGATATGGGTTTGTCTGATGCATGATGTACTAGTATGTTGTAAGATGTGTATCATATACCAGGTCCTGATATCATTAAACAAGGCGCAGTCAACTACCTCCAGTCATAAACCACATGAAAACAGTCCTGTGCAATGTAACGTAAAGACCCTCTTACCAGGAGCAACCACCCCCCAGTTACCAAAACTTTTTCTCTTTGCCTCAAGACTTTCACTGTATATCGTTTTACCCAAAGAGAGTATTCCAAGGCTTGCATTTAAGTGTGCTTAACCTATCCATATATAGCATACATCTTAAATTCGTGACACCAAAAAGCAAACCTTACAGCAGGGATAAGACTCCCTGAATTGCAAAGAGTTTGCATACGAAATTACAAATTACAACGGACAAGACAGGTGTGGTTTGTTTTCCTACCACAGAGACTGAGATATAGGTAGCATTGAGACTCATTGTTTTAAGCTTTTGCCTGTATGTGGTTTACCAGCCTGTAATGTGTGAACATCGTGTTGTTTGTCTCACAGCCGGCTGCCCAGCTGGATACGTGCCGTGGTCCCCAGGATCTTCTACATCACAGAGCGAGCCTGGAACTTCTACCCACACACCATCACAGGTAGCAGCGTATAGGTCTTATTCTGTCACATAGCGTGCGCAGTTTAATGGATAGCAACCCAAGAGGTTGGGAGTTTGTATCCCAGTTGTTGTCGCTCACCCAACATGCACAATACTGTAAAGGGCCACAGTCCTTAGTGCAGAATGTCACTCTTCATGACATTTTCATCACATCCACAATGCTACAAGATTTTTCAAAATTAAGATGAAACTAAGAAAATGAAATGCAGCGTAGATATTGCTATTCATAGAGTTAAAATTTCAAAATTTAGTATTTTACGGAGGGAGCATGCCCCCAAAACCCAAACCTTGGTCTCACTTCTTCAGCACAGAGCTGCATTCTGTCAAACTACAAAGGCAGAGAAAAATTTAGAACTGAAAAGAACCCATATGTGAACTAAATTTACAGAAACACACTCCTGTAATTCCTAGCCAGTAATCTACATCATTAAGGCTGCGGAGTGACGTGCGATTATTAAAGAGCCCCTCATCAGGAGCTATCTTCAATCACATACAGCCTTATTAATTGCTATATTGTTGAAGACGAACGTTTGTCTTGAGGCAATCCCTTTGAAAACCCCTTGTCTCTGACAACGCAGTATAGACCAGTACATGTAGCTTCAGGCATGTGTTTTTCAAAGGCTTTAGTGTGCAGAAGGGATAATTGCTCTCTTAGAAAATCTGAAGTGAAGGGAGGAAGGATGCACCTGCTTAATGATGTAGGTGGTATATATGGAAACAAGCCTTAGGCTGCAGATGTGTGTGAAACTTTCATGTTCGTGTGTCAGTTGTACAGACAGGTATTACCCTAATGGGAGTGAATGCAGAACCTTTTGCAGAAACACTAGCCATGGCTCATGACAGCCTAAAGCCACATGTACACCAATTTGATTTGTTGGTTCTTGGATTTTTTCAGAAAAAGTATGATGTGACAGGGCGAAAAAATAAAAATGAAAACAGACATAGGCATCCTATCATAGACCCAAATGCTATAATAGGAGCCATGAAGTCAACATATCAGACTGTCGATAGATGGAAAAACTGTAACAACTCTCTGAAGAGAAGGGACTTCCTTCAACTGTTAGGGCCAAAATATGATTTTGGAGCTGATCCAGAAATGTTCTCTTTTTTTGCAAACCAGAAAAAAAAAGGCCAAATCCGTGAACCAACAAATTAAATTTGTGTGGCCAAAGATCATGCTGTAAATCTTGACATGTTTGCAGTGGTTTTTATTCCCCTGGTTTTCACAGCAATCTCTCCACTGCAAAATTGTGACATTGCAACTATACATTTCCACTGTATCGCTACTCCACTGCAGAATTGTTTCAAGCTCCTAAAGGACTCGTTTCCCCTCCTACTGTGAAATTAGGTTCCCTGGAAAATAAATGAATTTACAATTGTAAAATGGAGGGAATCGTTGTGCCATCACGACCATCCTGGGGCTCTAGTGACAGAACTGATGAGAAAATTCTGTTTGGTGTGTATTTCCCACTTGTCATTTATTAAAGTTCACAGCATCTTGTTGCAGTATGAATAGCTGATGATCTATTGCAATGTGTTTGGTGTTAAGAAATGCTAGTCAAACTAGAAAGGTAACATTTGCAAAGCAAATGCATAATGTTCACCTTCGCATTTGGTCTCCTCTGTTAATTCTCTCTCAAACACGTTCATATATAATTATAGTCAGATAGGAGACTGAATCCCTCCTGCTATAAAATTGCAACGTGATGTAACCCAACACTAGTTACCATGGTGACAGATATCTGGTTCAGGTCATTGACCTTGTTTGAAGAAGAAGAAGAACAGGAAGAAGAAACAGCAAAAACAATATGTTTTCCTTCTGCGAAGGTAAACATAATAAGATATCCTCCCTCCTTCAGGACAAGGATGAGGCATTACATAATAACTTAAAGATATATTTTAACCGAAGGAAGATGAAAAAGAAGCTTATGTTCTATACTGGTTAGGACTTGTTGGATAAATCTATGTTGGGAGGATGAGAGGGTGCTCATGGATAGATCTGCATTGAGAAGATGAGAGGATCTTTCTGCAGCTTGATGTTGCATTGTCAACTCTTATCACAACTCCCATATGTTACATAACAGCCTTAAAAGAAAGTGGTCCTCTCTATTAGGGTGATACATTTTGCTCATGTAATGTGGTGTGGCTTTGCTATGGATGAAGAGAGGTATTTGCTCATGATGGACATGTGCCAATTTTTTTTAGTTCCTCACTTTTCCATTCAAAATTACAAAGCCTTTTCTCTCTGCATTCCTATAATCCATGACTCAATTCCTCACGCTCATAATTTCATGTGTTCAAGTTATTTTGATATCCCTGTTTATGAAATATTATTCTATGTTACATTGGATGTTCAGTAGTTTTCTAGTCCAGCAAGTTTGTCCATTCCCGTGGATGTAACAGTTTCAGCACCAAGGACAGGGGCTGTTTACCAAGATTCAACCTTTAGCACACTGAAGTAGCTGTGTGGCTGCTAACTCTATAGGTTACGGTATTAAGCAGCAGGGAGAATGTTAACATGTCATCAACAAGTCCAGTCAGGTGTGGAACACAAGATTCTTGCTTCAGTTCAAGTATTGCTACAGGTTATATATGAGTAGTACCTTCCCTAAAGGGGGAGGGGGGTAACCTGTTTTAATGGCTTTTCTGGTTTCTTCTTTTGTAGTCTAAGATCAAACACATTGCCATAGAGCACACTATCTTCCTTTTGATTCAAAACTTGGCACTAAAAGTGTGAAAAGTTGTTTGACTTGTCACCACTGAATGTGGAAGAAAGTCATTACTCAAAGTAACCACGTGCACGCCGACCCCACCTGTGCTAAAAGCCATGCAATTCACTAATGAGTCTAGTGGGCAGCAATTCACAGTGCCATTTGGGTCATGGCTAATCTGCCCCTCCAGTCTTCTAACCACAATTAGTTCCTAAATGACAGTGATCTTTCACACCACACCGATGCATCACATCCTGCAATCTTTTGTGGAAAAGCGTGCCGTAATTTCTGAGCCAATTTCGCAATAGGAGACCTAATCTGTTGTAAGGCTGCAACCTGATAATGAGTGCCCTTGTGTGGGTAATGAAGGTCATGTGGCTGATATGACAGCCAAGTTATCTATGGGAGAAACATAGTATGACTGTCTCAGGTAGGATTGTATCTGCACTCTGTACTCTTCATTTTTAAAAAGCATCCAGTGCAGTTTTTAAGGTTTGGAGACCTGATTTTTCAACGAGAATATTCTAGTCATTTATCTACATAGTGAGTTGAAACTACACTATCCAAATGTATATTGACTCTCATGGAGCAAAAATTCCCAAAATTCTGACGGAAAATGGTTAGCGGAAGGGCCCTGGGCTAATTTTTAGGGTACCACCCAGAAAATAAAGGACTTATCTTGTAGCTTCTGCAGTTTTAAATGCCCAAAGTATGAAATACTGATTGAAATGTGCCAATGTGAAGCAGCATGTGTCAATATCACAAAGATTTCCTTATTCAGAATAGTTGCAGTTTTGCTGCCCTGAAATTGTATTGGATGCCTTTAAGGAGGCCATGGAAGATAAGTAGGGGTAGTCGTATGACTCAGATATGAACAAATATAGAAACCATCAGTCAAGATTTGTGAATCATTAGAAGTGCTGGAGTTCTATTTACATCACTCCTTATACATAGTAACAGTCATTAAAATCAGAGATTTGTCATTTGCTGATAAAAGTTAAAAGATGCTGACTCACCAGTTTGTACCAGTCTTAACTGGCTGATCAGAGTCAGGCAGGCGTTTGTCACATGAGCTCGGTGAGATGTGTGATCAGATTCTCTTCCGTGTTATTTGTACAGTATCGGGAAGCTGGTGACTTTGGCAAGTTTGCTGAATGATATATTCACACTGTGCTATTCTAGATATCACATGTAGTTAAGTGTTAAATGCAACTAATCAATATATCCCCAACGTAACTAACTCTATCTTACAACTTTGAATGTCTGATTAAGAGGGAGGGGGGGATAACTTGTTTTAATGGCTTTTCTGGATTCTTCTTTTATAGTTTAAGACCAAACACATTGCCATAGAGCATCCTATCATAGTTTTGATGCAAAATTTGGTATTAAAATTATGAAAAGTCATGGTAAACACATTAATTGTTCAGGACTGGTCTTTCGGTAACATTAATTCATAGCCCTCGGTGCGCGGATATACCGGCATTTTCTCTAAGCCCGTAAGCCCCTCCAACCTTGATAAATCCGTTAAGAGTCTCTGTAGAAGGAACCTGTCTGCCCTTTCCATATATGGCCCCAGAGGAAGGCGGTAATGGTGTGGGTAGAATCACCAACACTTAGTCAAGGACAGCGGGCTGTGAAGGGCATGAGGCAGGGAGGCGATATGCACCGGCTCCCTCACCGCCCCGGCTATAATGACTGATAACAGTTATCAATCTGATGGGCCCATGTGACCGGAGTGACGGGGCATTGGGTCTTTGCAGCGGCGCATTCGGCCCGTTTTTCCATTATCACGAGCACGATGTTGATCCTTGATTCACATCCACCCCATGTATTTTCCTCTTTTTTCTTTTATCTCGAACCCTAGAAGTGCCCGTCAATTTGCATGTGTATTGGAAGCCGGAAGAAGCATGTAGTTAGAATTTGGCTGCTTTAATCTTTTAAGACAGTTTTGAGATTGGAACTCTTATAAGTGCCACTGAGTCTAACTAGATAGTGATACAGACAAGCTATTTATAGTGAGAGATAAAGATCAATAAAATGTACAGTAATTAAATGCTATGATGTAACGTTACATTGGTTGTAAGTATTGTTAGAAAATTCATTGCCCAAAATTTAATGCACAATATTACCCCCCCCCCTTTCTGAACCTGTCTTATATTTTCTAGTAGAGACTGCATTAAAAAGTGACTACATTTGCAGCATGCATGTACATTGTGCCAGATGATGCTTAAATATATTGGATTGAATTTCAAGAGTGCAAATTAAACTGTATGGTAACCACAGTGAAACAGTAACCACTTGTTCATTATCAAGTATATGTACAATATTTACCACACTGGGCTGCATCTGTATGGTAATCAATGATCACATCAGCATGTAGTACATTTGTATGTAAGCATTTTTGGATCCCTTTTGCCAAATCTCAAAATGATGATGTGATATGATGACCAAGTTTGTTTCATTCTTTCTGACAATTTGTCTTTCTCCTGCATGTTCTGACGCTGTGCTGAACAGAATACACGGTAAGAATTTCCCCGGCCTGAATCCATCTACCCAGATCAACCCAAGCATTTGCAGTCCGTAGGCGTAGATTGCACGGGAGGAAATTAATGTTGCAGCGACGTAGCATGGCTGCATGTGGAGGCCTTTGTCTCCCCTTATCAGCTCAAATTGGTTTTTCATTGGAAATTGGGCCACAGAGATTGAGTTCTATTGATTTTTACCTTGCAATCCATAACTTGTCATGAGGAGGTGGGGTTGAGCTTGATACATTAATAAAATACTGAATCTGTGCTCGTCTTCGATATTGTAACAGATAGCTCTTTCAGGGTGTGATATTATATTTTATATCTGAACCATATTGCTGTACAAGAAAATGTCTGCATGGTTTGTTGTAATCTGTTTTCTTCATATCACAGTTAAAATGATGTACATGTACTTGTACTACAGTTAAAGTTGAATTTGATTATTTGAACAGGATTTATTAAATAAATTTTTTCGTCACTTTTTGCTTTCTCCTGCCAGATTGAAAAGTTGATTTTGGCCATTTTGTTCAGCTCTGAAATTGTAGATGTACATTTTTGTGTATTTCCAGATATGGAAGAAAAAGGAAACAAGTACAGTGCAAAGTTCTCCCATCCATGCTGAAGTCTAAATGTTACAAGAAGCACACGAAGCACTAGTACTATATCAAGAGCACAGAGTTATATTGAAAATTTGCTCACTTTTCTTCCATCTACACAGTTTAAGTCAAACTATTCATCTAGATTGCTGTGATTGACAAACACAACTATAGTCATAGTTATACATGAACATGTATGGAAGAAAACACAGTTTTGTTTGTTTTGTTACCACGATTCATTGCCGTAGTAACATAACAAATGATATCTATTTTGCCCTGTCTAATTAACCGATCCTTTTGTTCCGCTCCAGTGTTCCTTTCTGCCAAAGTTCATCATACTGATTGAGACGAAGTACCAAAATAACAACGGCAGCAGCTGCAATGTAAGTCTGGTCCCCTGACCATCATCATCTGTTTTACTACTTGTGACAGGCAATATGTACATATACATGTGTGTACAAATGTTTATGTCATACCCAGGCCACGATTACGTTCGATACGGGTGTTCCGGCCCGTGTGATAACTAGAGGTATGGTACGGCCCGGGGTTCTTTACGCGTACGGCCCGGGCTTCCAAATGTTCCATAGAATAATTCGAACGCATTTTGCGCGCACTGAGTGCGCCGCTTTCGAAACTTGGAACACCGAATTCGGATGTTGGAATTGACGCCGTTACACTTTTGATTTAGATACACCAAATTTTGGCACATTTCGCATATTGACATGTCTGTTTTCTTGGGTGGGTATGACATAAATGAAATACAACACGGTGTATTCCGCATCACCCTTGGGCCCAGCCCTCCCGTGGATCGGATCTCCCTCCGGCCTTCTGCTGTCGGGCGATCCAACCCGCGGTCGGGCTGGTACCTTGGGCAATATGGAATACACCATGTTGTATTCTATATATACAGGCTATGTATGTATCATTGTATCTATACTGTCATTCTTGAAGTTTAAATGTCCATGGTGGTTTATTTTCATGGTTTTCGTGATGACATCTCCACATTAATATTGAAATTATGACACTTGCAAATCTGTTTTCCCCTTGTATTATTTACCGTAACTGTACAACAGTATAGTTGAACTGTGATCTTAAAAGTCAGTGACCAACCTTTTCGCCTACTATCTTCGAACTTAACTTCCTAGATACATGCATAAACAGTAACATCCAGGCATTGCTCGTGACTATGTAAGTCTAGTCATGAATGCCATTTCACATTTTTGCTTTGTAGTTTGCAACATGCAGGTGTACATGTAAATGTCATTTCAAGTCCTCCCGCTTAAGTGCATCCGTGATTCGTGAACAGTGTCTTTTTTTGGGTGTCAAAGTATCAAACTCACGTAAGTTTGGTTCATTCCCTCGCAATCCCAACAAGACTCGCTGATATTTTGCTGTGTGAAGCAGCCAGACTAGACTGTAGGAGTCATTTATTGTGAAGGTGGAGAGGCACCCAAAGTTTTGAGAAAAATGTTCCACTGGTAAATGTTAGAATTTCTAACCCTCTAAATTAAAACACTACTTTCAGCAAATTTCCCAACCACACAAATACCATATACATGTAGTATTGGATACAAGAGTTTGTCATACACCGAAACATTAGCAAGGTAAATAGTTTGGTTGTGTAAAAGAAAACTCTTGTATCCTATACTTTACCACCCTGATGAGGCTATTTTCAGATGTAGTATTGGGTTTATGCACCACATATTCGGACATCTGGAGGCAATATTCACGTCCTGCACACAGCTGAAGGCACCCAATGCCCCCCCCCCCAAAGGACCTCCAAAGACACAAGAACACTACAATGTAGCAGTAATCCAGGCATGAAGGTGATATGTATATCAGTGCTCTTGTCGCGGATGGAGGCTGAAGTGGCTTTTTTCTCCATCTGCCTACTAGAGTGATGAAGAACCTCTCCATCTAAACAAATGATGGGGGAAGAAATTGAGTTGAAGGGGCGGCTGGTCGGAATGGTTTGTGCAGAATCAGAAGCAGGGTGTGTGGGCAGATAGCGAGGATTGACTCGGGTGTTTCATGTAGAATGGATTTACCACTAAGCCTGGGGATATCAAAATGCATGTATATCCAGGGCTAGAAATACCACCTGCATACAATATTTAGGTACAGTAGGATTAACCTGACTACACTGTGCTTCTAGCAGCCCTTCCACCTAGATCCGTATTTTATAAGAATTAGTTTTCTAGCAGAGCGGTGAAAGTATGGTTTGTCTGGTGCAGGTTATTTTGCATGCTACATTAATGTACCTGCACCAGTGCATGTATTCCCCCCAAAAAGTATTTTGAACCCTTATAGTATACATGTACATGTATGGCAAATCTGCTACCCCCAGTAGCAAGTTTCACTCAGTAAATTGCATTTTGTAAATGAGGCAGATTGAGGTCACCAAATCACAGAGGAATACAGGATCAATAGCAGAGATACAAGAGATGATAACTAGGGAACCTGCCTCATTATGTTCATTATGTACTGCCCAAGGGCCATTCCACAACCCATCAGTGGTTTGAACTTTGAAGGTTATAGCATGACAAGTGGTGTCCTTGAAAAAACAAAAGGCCAAACACCTTTGGTAGGGTTCTGGTGACGTCCAACATGAAAAGACAAACCTTAGAACAGAGATATTTTTAGTGTTTTTGTAGTCTTTGCATTGAAAAAAAATTCTTACATTTCTGTAACATAGACATAATGTACATTTTGTACATCTACTTGTAGGTTGTCTAAAATAGTGTTTCTGAAGACTGTCCAACAGGTACATGAATACTGTTAAGTATTAAGATTCAACCAGGTCTGGAGAAGAATTTGACCTGGACTGTCTGACACCTTCCTCAGGTCAAAACTGGTTTACTTCACACTGCAGCATGATGCTACTTCTGCAGTGTGAATTCGAAGAATACAGTCCTAAACATGACATGAGTCGTATTTGTACACCCCCCCCTCCTCCTGGTTCATTACTTCTTCTTCTTCTTGATACTCTCGAAAACCCCTACTGGGGTATCACTGAGAGGGGGAGGGGGGTTACGACGGACTATGGCTGCGTGACCAGGGGTCCGGCCTTAAAGGCCTCCACTGTCTGGGCTTGTACTAACTGTCCCGGCAGCTTATTCCACTCTTTTATTGTTTGTGGAAAAAAAGAAAATCTAAAACAGTCTGTTTTGGCGGGTATTGCTTGATATTACGAGTGCAGATTTTCTGATCCACACTAATGCATCTGTTGTCCACTATGTCTATTACATTGGACAGCCGCCCAGCCTATTACACGGTTATTTGCTGCAACATGGTCTGTCACAGCTAATTACTCCTTCGGAGTGAACGGCAAGAAGACCATGGATATGGTTATTAGCGCACGAAAGGAGGCTAACGTCCCAGTTCCTCCACACCCAACTATAGCAGGCTGTGAGATACAAAGGACTACTTCCTTCAAACTCTTCAAACTCGATCTACTCTGTGTATTTTAAACATTGTCAAATATTGGCTCAATTCATGTTTTTTGAACTTTTAACATGTCATGCCAATATGAATAAAGCTGAATCTGAAACATCTTTGTTAAATTCTTCAACATGCAGTGGTTTGCCGAGCTGATGAAAGTGTTCACAGAGTGAATCTTGTTGTTTTCAGTGCCTGGGTCTGACAGACGAGGAACTGACCCAGAGAGAGGTGGACTTCATCGACATTGCCACAGACGAGATCCCAGACAAACAGTACCAGGCCAGCGAGGTGGGCGGACTAGCTCATATTCAGTTGATGGGTGTAGGATTGTCAGCCTGAATTGTCAGCCATATTAGATAAGGCCTAGGAAAAAAATGTGTTTCCTGTTTCCCGACAGACCATATAAAAAACTGCCAACTCTGGCCTTTTTTTTGTGGACCCCTGCAAGGGACATAAATTTTCGAGCTGATTGACCTATTTTAGCTCTGTGATTTGATGCCTGACTGATGCAACATTGTACAATTGGTCCTCCAACATTGACTCTGAAGTGTTCTTATGCAAGTTTTACTTTGTTAAACTGTATTGTATAAGTTGGGTCAGTAGAGATTGCCAAAGTCTAAAAAAAGAAAGAAAAACGAAACCCTACCTACCGACCCTAATTTTTTTCTGGACTGAAACAGGAAACACAGCATTTTTTTCTAGGCCTAATAGCTGCTCCTCAACTCTACACAATTTCTAGCCTCTACTGTAATTGTCTATGTCTATGAAGAGTTGTATATCTGTAAATAGCTGTGCGTTTTTGTGTACGTGTAATTCGTGTTACATGTTTTTGTTCTGAACCCTGTAAGATTAGCCATTGGCCAAAGGGTATCTCAATAAAGGAATATAGAGCAACAAGTTTGTATGCTGACAGGGAGCAGCAGATTTGATATTTCTCGAGTTCGGGCAGTAGGATTGCATGGAGGATCTCTGGATAAAAACAGGATGTCACATTGCTATTAAATGTCAGATGTTTCACCTCTGTTTTTAGGACTGCACAAAATTCAAATCGAAGAAGACAAACAGAGGACCTTTGGCAGAGGGTTGGAGGGTAAGTAGTACATGTAATGACACTGTTGTACATGTACTTCAGGTCTTATCTTTTCGTGCTTGGCATTCTCCCTTTTCCCCTTTCATCTACCATTTTTCCTTGGTATTTAAAAAAAACACTCAATGAACAAATTTGCATAGTACAAAATAAGTCAAGATTCTCTTAAGAGTCAGATGTTTCAAATAACGCTCGTTGATTTATTTATTTTGTGTTTTGTAATGTTTTAGTTGATGTAAGAAATTTGTATTCTTTAAAAAGAGTTTTTCTGAATGATTACAAAGAAAGATTACCAAGGACTGAGTAACAATTGTGGATGTCTTATTCAGCACCAAGGACAGTGTAAACTGTTCTAGGTGTCTTATTAGTATATTACCATTAACCTGCTAGTGATGGGTGATTTGATTAGAACACAGTACAGTACTAATGCCCAACAATGTTGTTGGCATCTGTTTTTGACAGGACTCCCATGACCCAATCATGTGTTCCTATAAGCTGGTGACAGTGAAGTTTGAGGTGTGGGGACTACAGACCAGAGTCGAGGCATTTGCCCACAGAGTAAGTGCTGTAAATACTGAAATGTCTGCAGTGGTTTTATTTGAGCATGTTTTTTGGTTGTGGGTGGAAGCATTTTGTCTTTTTAGTACAAATGAAATGCCTTATGCTTTACACACATCTTACTTAAAATTGCATCAAAACAAAACCAGAAAAGGTAGTTAGAAATCATATTTATATTTCAGTCCATACCATGGTATGGATGAAATAAATTGTGTTCCCTCATGTTTCTCCTTCTCCTCCTTCTCCTCCTTCTCCTGACAAACAGTCAAAGGGATTCAACTCAGCCATCATTCAGCCAAATGACCTGAAATTTGGCATGGAGGTAGAGTGGGCAAATACCCCCAGACGTTTTTTCATTTTTTTGAAACATGCCTTTGAAAAACTTTTATGAAGGTTTTTTGAGGCATTTTTCGACAAAAAATGGATTTTTGGATCCTGAGCCCTGGTATTACAACCAAATGATATGACATTCGGTATAAGGGTACCTTGCACGTGTGTCTACAGAATAGCAGTCATGTATCTGGCATACATCACTTCCAAATGACTCATTTGGGGGACTTTAATGGCTATTTTCAGCAAAAAAGGGCCAAAAGTGCTATACCCGTTCCATGTTCTATCTAAAGAATGGCCGGTTCCATCCATGGAACACATGTTCCATTGCTGGTTACCTGAGGTCACATTGCACCTAAGTGGTGCGTAATGACCCACACATTCAATTTTATGTGCCTAAGACCTTCAAAATGTATCAAATCTCATCATTGTTAGTTTTTTCATACCTGTAATAAGATTAGTAAAGCTTTCGAGATTCAAAGTACTTGTTGTTGCATCTTTGTTCTCATATAGCTACTATTTAATTCATTTATTTGAGAACCTTTGCCAGTTTTGCACTGGGGTAAGTTTGGGAGATGGACTGAAATATGCTATATTTGCTCCCAAGCAAATGTCGGCCTTTCTAGTTTTCTACATAAGTCAGGTGTTGGTGCCGAGATTATAGTATGATTAGGGGGAACCATTGTTTCCTATTCTTTAGGGATATCCTTGCATTGACTAGTGTTTTTCGTTCTCCAGGCCATCAGGGACATTCTGCTGGTTGGGCATCGACAGGCCTTTGCTTGGGTGGACGAGTGGTATGGTGAGTACCACACAGGTCTTATTCAAACTCGTCATACTCATTGTAATGTCAGGGACGCTGTGATGTCAATCAATTTCTAAAGGGGTCATGTTCATGTGTTGAACACAAATAATAGAGGGGGAAGGTTAATGCTAAGCATGGACTTACATGTACATGTTCTGTGCTTTCTCAACCTTCTTAACTGGCATGGTGGATTGCAACACATACATTGTATGCTCACCTCTTCCTACTTTTATAGTTAGGCAACTAAAACATGTGTTGCTGTGCTCTAAAAGTTAAGGCCCTTAACTGACAAAGAATAGTTTGCAAACTATGGTATGTTATGCTGTACTACCAGTACTTGTTATGCTGTAGCATACTGTGGTTACAAGAGCATTCAAATACACAACACTGATCATACCCATACCCATACATGTACTTGTAACACAGGGATGGGCATGGAGGATGTTCGGGACTTTGAACAACGACTGCAGGAGGAGACTAACCAGAGGGTGTTAGCCACGCCGTCGTCTGAGAACCTCAGCATGACCACCGCTTCTCCCGGCTCCACGCCCGAGCCCTCGCCGCTGGGCCCCGCCCCGCCCATGGACTTCCCGCGTAGGAAATCCTCCGCGGGCTCAGGGACCCCGACCGACGCCCCCAGCACCAGCAAACTGCCCGACCCGCAATAGCAAGACACAGCCCCACCTGTGTGTAACAACCCACCTGCAGAAATGCCAGACCCTGCTCCTGTGTTAGGTGTTCCTTTTGTAGCACACACTAGAGAAATGGCCGGGAAGACAATCTGAGTAATCATAGCTGACGCTGAAGGTATAGTCTGCCGTAGGACTGCAATGGACACACTAGCTTACTAGTCTGCGGACGCTGAAAAAGTTTTTATCTAACTTCTCATGTGTTCTTCTCAGAACCACAAGTACCTGTGGCTCTAAAATGCATACTATCACTCTTGTACACGTAGTACAAGGTTTTGAAATAAAGAAAATTAAGTACACCATACAGTACATACCTTCTCTGATAGTATGGCCTGACACGTTGATTTTTACTGTGGTGCCTTCTTGTGTCCTATGGCAGATAGACACTCAATGTAAGCATAATTTACCTACTTAGGGTTCCAAAGTGTTTAAAAGAAGTTCAGTGTCAGGAAAGAATAGTTTGGATGTAGAGATTTTGTACAGAACCACGTATTTGTTACAGCCAAATAAGGCCGTGAGAGAAGTTATGTTGTATATGTTTATGTATAGAACCGACCTTTGTACATACAAGAAATGTGCACCGTTTCTAGATGTAATACACTGTGTAATGTGAATGTACAAAACATGTATCTGTGTTGTGCAGTATTTACAACATGACAAAAACATCAACCACCGCAATTTACATGTAGTTTCACCCGCCTCTGTGCAATGATTCGTTTTCAGTCAGTGAAATGAATCTTCCTCATATTGTGCATGCAGGGCTCATAACTCATAATCTTTGCTCTCAACTTTTATTATGAAATGATGTATTTATGAAGATTAGACATCCAGGTAGAATATTACACACTTACATTTGTATCCAGATCCATTTGCTTGATTTTGTATCATGTATTTCAGAATGAATTCATGCCAAAGTTTTATAGACTCAAACAAGATGTTTGTTTTGCAGTTGAATGATTCATAAGAAGTGATGCCAAGTGTAACAACCAGTATTCAAAGCAACCAGTATTGTAACCACAAATGTATCACTCAGTGGTGTAATACTTCTCATGACAGATAGGGGGAGCCACTTAACAAGTTGCACCTTGAAATAGAAAGTGTATGTATGTACATTGTGAATGTTAGGCCTCAGAACAAAGTGAGATTTTAAGTTTGGGTTGAAACAATCAAAGGTAACTGTTAGTTGTTACCAGATTTCAGTCTGTGCCTGTTGATGAGGTTGTTGTTGGCCTTTTATCGCAATGTTTTTTTAGTTTTTGTCAGCATGACACATGTACAACTGTATACCATACTTAGCAGGTATGTAAACCCTGTAACTATGACATAGTTTTGGATATATCAAGCCAGGAGGGCTTAACATTGCAAAGGTCATTGGTACATTGACTCCAGTATGAACATCCATTCAGTCACTGCATACACAAAGATTGTATTCTGACTCAGGCATATTTGTTGAAAACAATTTTGAGAAACAAGAATTGTACTTACAACAGTTCAGCCAACTTCAGTGTGTTGGGATTGAGTCCCTTGGAGCCTGTTGGATGTACTTTTGGTGCACTCATGTTAGGATTGACCAGGCCACCTACTCTCTTCTGGGTATCAGTTGAACATGCAATGCATTTTGGTGTCTCAGATATTTAAATACTCCCTCAGTTGCAAATTAAGGCAGGTGTGCTTGGGAAATTGCAATTGGAGTAGAGGTTATGTGGGTATTGTCCATGTCATTGATTGGTTTGACATGACCATGCCAAGTTCCTATCTGCAATTTCAGCTGGTTAGTGACATACATGTACAGTAAATGTTACAAGAACAAAACGAGGGCAGTTTTAACTTTTAACCTTAGCCAAACAGTTACTTCAGTGTGCTAAAGGTTTAGTCACACGATGTAGGGCCCCATCCTTCCCACTGCAGCGACACATAGCTACAGAAGTAGAACTGGAGTTAGGCCCAATTCACACGGGGCAAAAATAGTGTGCGGTGCGTCTTGTGCAACAGATTTTGTGAGCGTGAAGTTTCTTGTGGCACATCCAGGGGCGCCATAGGAAAATGCCGCCACGCGTCGGACTTGTTTACATGCGTAAAAAAATCTGCCACACGTCGTTTGACGCAGGAGAAATAATGTTTTTGCTCCGTGTAAATCAGGCCTTAGTACTGCCCTGAGGAAGGCGACAGATGGTCCACTGAAACATGGGCCGAAAAAAACCTTTGGTTGGACTTTGTTAACCACATTTTGGCCATGTTTGGCATGGTGTCATTGGACACGGGAACTTTGTGTCACACTGCTGGTGACATACAGGGTACATTTGTTTGTTTTCATGAAAGTGGTTAACAGTCTGTGACCTAGCAATATGTAGTCAAAGATGTGTTGGTATTGATTGATTGTATACTATGATAGGGAATAAAGCAATATCTGTTAGTTGCCATAAATTTTTGTTCTGGTCAAAGTAGTGAATTTTAGTACAGTGGCCAAATCACTTGGTTTATCATGTATGGGGATGTGTGTGTACCTCAGTCATTGTCTTCTCAATGTTTGCTGGAAGTTTAAATGCTTTATTTCCTGGCTAGAAACTGGTTGACAGTACCGGTTAAGTTTGTTTATTCAGTTCTAATCTCACCACATCCCCAGGTTAAGAAGCCCAAGCCACATCTGAATAACGAATGCCCCACCGACATGGCTAGCTACTTTGTACCATACTGATGTTCATGTTGTAAAAAGTGTACAATACTGGAGTGTACAGAATCATATGGCTACTCCAGTACTTACAATTCAATATTCTCATGTATAGCAACCCAAGATGACAAAATATACATGTAAACCCATTTAGGAGGGTGTTGTTGCTTTCTTGACTTAAAGTGTTTGCACTACACCTTTTAAAAATACTTGGGGGTGAGATGGTACTAAATGGTTAAGGGTGTATGAGTCAACTTGCTCCTCTCTCTGTATTACACCATCCTTCCCACTGTGAACCCAAACATACATGTTGAGCAGCACAGATCATCAAATGCAGCAGTTTAGATGCAGTCAAACCATAAGTAGGAATGGATCAGCTCTTCCACACATACACACTCAGTCTGTTAATTAGCAGTCAACACAAGGCCAATAGAGTGCCAAAGGCAAGGAGGTACATGTAGAAATTCTGAAGCCCAGTACACATCCCCATAGGGCCCTAGTATCCATTCAGTCACTGGATACTAAGAGAGTAGATACTAGCTGACAGAGCTAGAAATAGGGATGGATACCTGGCTAGAAATTCTTTTGCATCACACAACAGCCATTCTCTTCGTAAACTCCTTTTCTCATTTGTTTTTGCCCTGCATCTATTGAAAGTGGTGCAATTATTTAACACATGTATACCAGTACGTGATCTGCAACCAATGTGTCTAGCCTAGCATATAATATGCAATTACAGACACGCTAACTCATCCATTATAGCAGAAAGCAGTAAAAATAACGAGACATGCCCAGGGCAACACATGACTCCTCCAGTATCAGGCTTGGTTTTATTTCATCATAATGCAATGATAGAAAATGTCCGATCCCAACAACACTTCCTCGTTCCAGACAAAAGAACACGTGACCGCCTTGCGCCAGTCACCTTGCTATGACACGTCATTTGCCAGGCGTCAAGCCGTCCATTTTACGATCATTCGCACATACAGTACACATTACTATCATTATTCATGCTAGGCGTTACAAAAGCAAGTCACGCAGACAGTTCCAGCATACTAGAGAAATCATTTCAATACATGATAATGTCCAAAAAAAAGAAGATATATATCCTAAACTCACTTGTATTACAATTCTCTCACCCTTCAAAGTTGTGATTTTTGAACAACCAAATAAAGGCAAAGAAGTAACCATCATTACCAAAGCAACATCTCTAGGGAGAATGGGTAAGGCTACTCTTCAAACTTTGAGGCACCCACATTTTCATTGGTTTGTTTTGTTGTGTGATGGCAGTTTGGAGAGAGGTACACAAAGGCTACAGAGGCTGTTGATTGTATGTTGTAAGTATACAGATACTTTTTCTGACCGAATCAATTGTCATTTGTTCTCCAGCCACGAGCACAAATACTAAGTACATCAGCTGGGTTTTGCTTGTGTGCAATGCCAGGAGCCCATGCTTTCCTCAGCAAGTCATATAATGTACGGTGCCTGAAAGTCCCCCGACTTAAACCACACCATTTGCAGTTCAGTTCAACATCTACTTACAGCTGTATACTTGGGACCTCTACCAGCCCCAGTGGTACTACTACGTAGAAAAGCATAATGCATTACCTGCCACTAAGCAGTCCAAAGAACTTCATCTCTCTAAGGGCAAATTACTTAATAAAAATAGACCTTCTGAAGATTCAATCAGTCTCAGTACTAGAAGAGGAATGACATACAATTAGATATTTTATTTTCTTCATATATATAGATTATCTTTGAAAGTAGGTCAGAGCAAGGCATGGAGAGAACAGATGGGAGCAATGAAGAGATTTCTCTAAAGTGAAAATAATACAAATGAGTGAGAAAAACAAAGGTGGAAAGCGGTTAGCATAGCTTTAAAATGTTGTCACTACCTGTTTATTAATGTTGCTATAGGTTGCTGTCAAATTCTCTCTGAGCGTTACGCCCCCTATAAAAGACAAGATATGCTGCAAACTCTACCTGCCCTTTGGAAAATGTTTTATACACCCTCCTAATTATCGTCTCTCCATTACAAAATGAATTTGCTCTTCAAGTATAGTGATAATGAATAGTAGAAAAGCTTTAGTCCTGTCACCTAACTATACGTATCCTCATAGAGAATGGGAGCAGTCTAGCAAATTAATGATGAAGCGAGGATGGCCGAAGCCACCCTGGGATGGAGACCACTACGGTCCCGGGACAGAGCCCGGGTCATGTGATCGCTCAATCATCCTCCCCGTCTACACCATCGGAAGCAGTGGACTGCTGTGTCATGTCCAGTTCATTGGAGGAGGCACCGCTGTCCACGTTGTTAGCGCGACGCGACGAGCGGCTGGTTAGAAGGTTGGTTGCGCCCCGGTTCCTGGTGGAAAGGCATGAGAGTTAGGGGTTAGAGTCACACACTGGTTAGAGCTAGCCCTAGGATATCAGTGCCACACACCGCAAACCTACCATGCTTCTGTACCTTTCTGTGTGTTGTGGGTGACATGAGAGATAGAAGCTATTGAGAAAAGTTTGAAGTCAGGTTTTCGAGCGTGACACAGATGCATGGTTGGTTTGTCATGTCACACATGCGTGAGATTAACATACACTAATATCATGATGGTTTGAGAACATGTACACCTGTCTAACATTAACAAAAAAAGCACAGCATTTACATGCAGAAACTACCAAGCAAATGGCAAACAACTTTCCAAAAAAATGACAGCAATTCTGCTGTCAGAATTTCTTAGTAACTTTCACTTGAACAATCTTACTGATCACTGTCCAAACACATACTAGAATGTAACAAATGAGTTCAGAAATACATTTGCTACTGTGAATTTTACATTTTGTGTCAGGAGTGTCAAGACGAACATTACTGTCAGTCTATCCTAGTCTGTAGTACCTACATGTAAGATACACTGACAATAAGGACAGAGACAACGCTGTATTACTCTATCATGCTTGTTCACATGGAGTCAACTGGGTTGTTGCAAAGCACACTCATGCCTCCTAATTTACATGAGTCGCAAAAATCACGTGACGGGTGCTTAGCCAAGCAAGGTGGGGTTGGACTGTCCCAAAAGGTACCTGGATCGGCCTTTCCGGCTTTTGCTGAGGCGGAGACAGGAACAAGACAGAGCCAAGTAGGGAGTGAGGGCAGAAATGACAGGCAGGAGAGAAGTGTCAGTACAGAAGCTCAACACAAAATGACCAGAACTCAGGAGTCCTGTTCCCTGCTGGCCGGTGAGAAGAAACCATCACGTGACTTCTCTGCTAAACTTGACTTAGCTTGATCCAGCCACCAGGGAGCAGGATGGTCTAAAATATTGGCTACATTGAGTACAAAGCACAAAGAGGTGGAAAGCAAGCCTAGAAGTTGAAGAAAAATTATAAAAACGGGCGAGTAACAGAAAGAGAAAAAAAAGAAGGAAGAAGCTAAAGAGACTGAGAACCTTCCTGTGGTCTGACAGGACCTGAGTACAGCACCCTTTCTTCATATTTGACCGTTCCCCTTTGCATAGCTGCCCACAGGGTTTCTCTGTCATCTCCTATTGACACATGACATCACACAGCTACAACCTTTTTCTCTAAGAACACTAGGACGTGGGTCTTTCACGTCTTGTCTGCCATTGCCACGTGTTCTTTAAGTTTCCCCTGATCTCCTTTTACCCCTGACGCTTTACTGAAAACCTTATCCTCTCTCTCTCCTAAGCAGCCTGCTTCTGCTAACCTCAGTTTGTTCTTCAGGGCGTTGACCTCTCGTGTCAGGCCGTCGTTGGACTCCTGCATGTCGTCCAGCTCACGCTGCAGCTTGCGCTTGTGGGCGTTGATCCTGGTCGACTCTTCCTCCGCCTCATCCAGCTGCCGCTTCAGCGTCTTTAACCTGGCGTTCATCTTCTCAACCTGGGGGGAGGAGGTTTCACATGGAAAAATTAGAGCATACAAACATACGGACACACAGGGGGAACAATCACTGCCATGTACAATGTGTGTGCGGACAGCAGTAAAAAGCCAAGCTGATCTTCCTTGAAGTTTTTAACCACAGTGGTTCAAGCATGCCTCATGGTTATGCACTGAAGAGTCAGTGTTTTTTGTGCATAACTCCAACCACTATGTTGAAAACTTCAGTCAACTCTGAAAGAAGAGGTGCCACATCAAAAGAAGAGGAAACATCACAGTGCAGCAATACAAGATAGCACCAATCTCTGAGAGAACACGAGAGGCAACAGGACAGGTTCTTGTTGGCAGACAGAGCACTGTACTTATGTCTGTTACTCTAGTCATGTGTAGGAACTCCAGAACTACATGTATTCCAACATGTTGGTAAATGCCTTTAGATCTTTATAGTGATGTGATTATACTATAGTGTGTGTAGAAAGTCGAGATACATGTCAAGGGATTATTCTATCTTCCAGACAAAATGTGCGGTATGTTGTTATGTTGTTTAAGATAAATTATAGTAAGTGACTACTCTCTAAAAGGTCTTTCTATCTATGACTTGACTGTGTTGTATGTCGTATGTGGTGTATGCGTCATCAAGATGGAAAGAAACAGGAGAGATCCCATTAGTGGAAACAGCAGTTATGTCATTATCACAGGTCATTATCACAGGTCGTTAACAGCCGACTTGGATTATTGGGTGATTAACACAGCGGACAAGTACAGACGGACTCCAGTTTCATCCAACCTGTTCTTTGTACTGATCTGCGTGTCTCCGTTCCTCCTCGTTTTGCATCATTTGTTCCTTCAGTTTCTTGTCGGCTTTCCTAGACGCCCGTGCGGCCATGGAGCGTTCCCTGTACACGAGAGAGAGCAACAACTCGAGGGTCATACCTGGTCCTTGTACTGATCGGCATGTCGCCGCTCCTCCTCGTTCTGCAGCAGCACCTCCTTAAGCTTCTTATCTCCCTTACGGGACGCCTTCTGGGCAGACATCTTCTCCCTGTCGCAGAGAGGGGGGTGGGAAAATAACGGTTACGACCGACCGCGGCGCTAAGGCGGCCCGGGAACGGAGAGAGGGCTGGGGTGGAGCGGTGGGAACACCATGCGGGGGGGAACGGCAGCACGACACGACACCACAGCGACTACTGACAGTGGAGGCAGTGGAGAGAACTGCATGCATCAGTACCTACTGTACACCCACCTACAGTCACTACATGCACGACTAACCCACCAGCTACAAGGGTAAAAGACATCTCCTAATGCACTAAAAATACATGCATGCAAAGAACGTTACAGAGTTGCAGTTCTCAGCTCTATCAAACAAAATGCTTCAACGTATACCATAGCAAAACTACAGTAAATAAACATTTCAGCTTCAACCAAGGAAGTACACAGGCAAATCCAAAACACAGCAAAGAAAGAATCAAGCAATGAAATCAAGATGCATCCAGTCAACAGTATGTCAAACAAGCATCAATCAGTTCAAACAGAAACTGTAAGACATTCTTTCCTAAAACTACATTCACTAATAGAGAGATTAAGCACAGCAGTGTAAAATCAACAATGCCAACAACTGTTACAGGTAAGAGCGTTGACAGGAGGAGCGTGGCCTCACCTTGTCTCTGTCTCCAGTTGTTCCTCCAGCTGGGCGATCTTGTTCTCCAGGGAAGCGATCATGGCCTTGCTGCGGGTCTTGACTGTAGCCTCCAGTTCCTGCAGCTTCAGGCGAAGCTCCTTGTTCTGTTGTTGGGAGAAGAAACACAACTTAGCTCCACAAGCTGCCATCCATGCATCACCACTAATTACTACTTGCAATTAAATTACAGCATTTACCATCCTTCTTATCACTCTTTCAGGGTCAGAATTTTTCAACATTTTACAAAATTATTTTCTGTCATGCTTCACTTTTTAAGACAAAGTGAAAAGTCTTAGCTTGTCTATGAATGTTTTAGGGTCAGAATGTTCTAACATGATGGCCATGTAGAAAAAAAAGCTTCACTTATTCTTAGGACAAAACGAACCCTTAGCTTATCTATCAATGTTCTAGTGTCAGAATCTTTCAACATGGTGGCTAAGTAGGATATCTCATTAAAACTATTTACCATCTGTTTTAAAGTTTCTAGCTTCAGTGCTTAAGACAAACTGAAGACTGGGCTTGTCTATCAATGTTTTAGGTTCAGAATTTTCCAACATGATGGCTAAGTAGGATCATCTGTCTTGAAATGTTTCCACCTTCAGTGCTTAAGATATGTTAAATCCCTCCTGACCTGTCTATCCAGCATGGACTGTTGGTTGAGCAGCTTCTGGTTGTTGGACCTCTCTGCGGCGAGCTCGGTGGTGAGCTGCTCCATCTGCACGCCGTTCTTGCGCACCTTGTCCATGAGAATCTCATTGTTACTCTGCTCCTCCTCCACCTCCTCCTCCAGCTGGGCCAGACGGGCCTCCAGACGACGCTTGTCCTCCTGTAGGGCTTGTCTGTAGTGGGGCAAACAGGGCTTAATACAACAGTACAACTACACACACGGAACTACCTATACATGAGCACTCCTATACATGAAGACTTCTTATATGTGAAGACACTGGCTAAACATGACGGAAAATAAATGAAACCTCCTATACACAAAGACTACTCATCATAGATAAAAATTTCTTATACAAGAAGACTTCCTATAATTATATATGATTATATATGTAACACTTCCAATTGGTGAAGCCTTCCTATAAATAAGACTTCTATATATATGAAGACTTCTATACATGATGACTGTCTGTATGTTACTCTCTATTTCCTCAATATCAAAAGGAAACTACTGATCTTTAATGTATAAATTAATAGTGTCCTCACTTAAAATGTTCCTATGTCCACAGTAAACTGGGGCATTAAGTGTACATGTATGATGATTCCCTTTTATGCCATATGCAAAAAAATGCCAAAGCAACTTGCAAAAGCAGACTTCCATGTTTGTTGCTAACATAAAAAAGCAAAACCACTGAAAAAATGTGCACAAAGCTTTGTTTCAGTGCTGCCTATTCCCTAGCTGATGGACAAGTCATGCCCACAAGCAAAGCCAGAACATGCAACAAGAAAAACACAAAATGACAAAGAAAACTTTGCCCATTCTGTTTGCTGATGACTCTCTCCTTCCAGCCTAGAGGTCTTGACTCTTGACAGAAATGGGTGCTTCTTCTGTGAAACCTTTTTGTGTTACTTTCAAAACGCACGCTAGTGATCACAGCCGACCTAGATGCTTGTGGTGTTTTTTTTCATGAGTCATATACCAATTAGCTTTTGCAACTGAGCAAAGAAAAAGAAGCGGCACAAGCCAAAGTCAATGCTGTTAAATAGTAGTAACTTTAAATGTGAGAAGAACAGTTGAAGATTGCACGTATTATGTGGAACTGCAGCTACAAAGTAATACTACCGGTACTACTATGGTATACTGCAAGTATTTAGGGAAAAAACCTACTGTTTGTCTGAACTACATGGTAAAATCGGAAGGGAACAGAAAAGAGGGGGAAACATACAATGTTCCATTAATGAATGGCTGAAGAGACCAGAAGCCCTGTAATTATACACACTGAAAACAATTCAATGACCCTGAAACACTGACTAACCCTTAAGCTTCCCCTTTGACTAAATTCAAGCCTTGTTTATGTCTTCTACCTCTTCCAATGGTGAATTCAGACATTTAGTGTTGTATGATGAACCATCGTTTTAAAAGACTTGTTTCCTCACAAACTATTTGTACACACAACTAAGTGTACATGTCAACTGCTCAATCTTCCTTCTCCTTAGATTGATAAGTTTGATATGATACTGTATCTACATGAAGTACGCAAAGATATCCTCTACTTGCATCTACATATACATCTACAGTGAAGACAACAGTTTTAAATGGTCGGGAATCAATGATAAGATACAGTACTGTTGATGATAGTATCAATCAGAACAATGATTTTATCTAAACTATAGTCCTTTACTATGCCCAGACTTACTTGCTGGCAGAGTTAGAGTTGACCTCCTCTGCGAGCTCGTCCCTCTCGGTGGCGATGGTTTTCTTGCTGCGCTCGGCGGCAGACAGGTCCTCCTGCAGCTGGATGATCTCCGCCTCCAGGGACTTGACGCGCTTCTCGTTGTCCTTGGCCTGCTGGGCCATCTCGTCCCGCGCCTGCCGCGCCTCGTCCAGGTCTGTCTGGAAGTCTCGCATTTGGGCCTGGAACTTCTTCAGCTGCTTGATGCTGTCCTCCTTCACCTGCGAGGAAAGGAGACACTTTTAACAACTTCTTCAAGAACACTCATACATGTATAGAAACAATACTCACAGTTATACAACGCAAATTGAGAAGGCTCAACATTTTGGGAAAGGGGTGCACAATCCTCAAATACGACTTACTGCTTCAACTACTTTTCCACAAAAAAGTAAGACTTTCCTTTGCTTCGTTGTCTTGTTGACAGATGGCATGTTAAAAGCATTACTGAAAAAGCTTGGCCAGTTGGGAATGGAAAACATCCCTGATATTTGCAAACACCACATCATGACAACAGGGCCATGAGTCTTTAACTAAATGAAGTTTTGACACGTATACCGAAGAAGAAGAAGAGGGACTGTTTCTTATCCAATGCCCCCTTTGCAAAGATACCCCGTTATTGCTAAATGGACTCTCCATCTGACCTTGTTGGCCTGTTCCAGCTGGCTCTCGGTGTCCTTCAGGTCGTTCTCCAGCTTCTTCTTGGCGGACACGGCATTGGAGCGCTGCTTACGCTCGTCCTCCAGCTCAGCCTCCATCTCCCGCAGCTGCCTCACCAGCCCGCGCCGCTTCTCCTCGTCATTCTCTTCACGGTTCTGAGCAAAAGGAGGGAGGGGGGCAGTTCATTAGGAAAACAGTTGAGAGTTCAGGGAAAAAATACTGTAGATCACAATTTTTTCGCAGTACTTTCCGTGACTTGTCGCTACTGCAAACGTATAGTTCCGACAAAATGTCCATTTTTATCAGACTGCGAATGTCCCTTTTTCTCAGACCGCAAAGTGATTTACAGTAACTTTCTGTCGTGCTATTGAATATACAATATCAGACAATGTATAGCAAGTTATGAGATGCTCCAGATACCAAATGTTTCTGGTCCTGTTATATATCATGTTATCATTAAAAAAATCCTCTACGATACTCTCAAAAACAGAGATTGACGGACTAGTGCACCATCATCCTCTCCTGAGATGAACGGTGGTCTACTACGTCAGATGAAAGTAAGTTACCCACAAATTCCAGTTGAAATCATGCAACTTAACATGGCAATAATGCACACAGGCCTTTTCATCCATGCAGCTAAGTTGTACTGTGGAGTATAACAGATATAACATCTCTGTGTGTCTGACCTGTAACTCTCTATCGAACACCTAAGTTGTACAGAGGAGCATAATTGATTTAATACCTGTAGCTCTCTGTCGTACTTCTGCTTGAGTGCCTGCATGTTGACCTCCAGGCGCAGCTTGGCGTCCTCCGTGGCCTGCAGCTCATCCTCCAGCTCCTCGATCTGTGTCCGCTGCTCCTCCGCCTGCTGCTCCAGGGCACGCTTCGACTTCTCCAGCTCATGGACCTGCGAAAAACAAACAAACAAACAAACAATTAGGACTACTGCTCCAGGGCACGCTTCGACTTCTCCAGCTCATGGACCTGGGAAAAACAAACAAACAAACAAACAAACAATTAGGACTACTGCTCCAGGGCACGCTTCGACTTCTCCAGCTCATGGACCTGGGAAAAACAAACAAACAAACAAACAAACAATTAGGACTACTGCTCCAGGGCACGCTTCGACTTCTCCAGCTCATGGACCTGGGAAAAACAAACAAACAAACAAACAATTAGGACTACTGCTCCAGGGCACGCTTCGACTTCTCCAGCTCATGTACCTACAGAAACAAACAAACAAACAATTACTACACCTTCTTCATCAATGCACACTAAAGCTTTGACTTCTCCAGGTTATGAACCTGGAAAATATTGGCATAAGCTGTACTGCAATTCCATGATTTCACTAGGGAGTTTGATCTCATTCCATTTGATTATCTTCTTCCCGGTGAAGAAAATTAATATTGTACCCAACAGGCACCTCTTTTGAAAAAATTTTTTGACTGAAGCCTCAAAGTTTTGTGAAGTAACTGCCCTTCACACTGTAGCTTTTTCTGTGAACACTGAACATCAAATAAGGCTTGAAAGACCTGTCCTATTAAGGCTAAAATGCCAGAACAGAACAAGGCATTTAGTTCCTTGCATCTCTCTTGTACAAGACAGAAGTCCATCCTTACGTTCTTCCCGACGTCATCCTTGGAGCTCATGAGCTCGTCCAGTTCCGCCCCCTGCTGCTTGCGGACGCGCTCCGACTCCGACAGCTGGTCGCGAACCTCCTCCAGTTCCCGCTGCAGTGACAGGTAACGGCTCTCCTTCTCTCGCGCCTCTCTCTCGGCTTGGTCCCTCTGTTCCATCAGCTTTGCTCCATTCATCTTCTCTTCATTCAACATCTGTGGGGAGAACATGGCAAAAACAATAGGGATGTCTAAAGATCAAATACATGGTGGCCTTTCAAATAAGGTGTCTCATATTTAAGTTTTGGCCCAGAAGGAAGTCTTACAAACTAAGGATATATTACAGCCCCAGGAAAGTTCCATATTAGATTTCTCAAAAGCTATGTTCCACTTGTACCCATCTATTGTTCACTCACATGTAACTGTTATCACTTAACCTTTAGTATACTTAAGTTATAATCTTACATAAACAAACAAATATGACTACAACGGGCTATTCTGCATGCTAAAATTCACCCACCCCCCTTCCTAGAAGATAATGCATGATGTATGTCGAGTTCAAAGATTTTTTTTTTGTGAAGTGTACTACGGGTATCAATAACACCACATTGCTATTGTGTGCTTGCTTCATGCTCTTTATGAACAAACGAAGGTCACATGCTGATTCTCTATCTACAGGTCTACACAAGACAAGAGAGGGTTTGCCTGTACAATGTACAAACCTCTTGCATCGTCTGAGTGCAGTGAGAGAGGAGGGTTGGACAAAGTGAGGACAGGCATGTTTGAACAAGTCACACGACAGACAGGCAAGATTAATTCTGCATTAGGATCATTCTACACTATCTAGAGACCAATTTACCTGTTTTTTTTTACTATTTTTACTTTCCCATGCCACATGAAATAGCACAGTGTTCTATAAGTTAATTTAGCATTTCTATATACATGTAAGGGGCATGCATAGTGATCAAGGAATTGACACAACTTTGGGAGAGGTTTACACATCATGAAAATCAAATTGGTCCTGACATGATCTAACATTTTGCTTCACAGAGGATACTGATACACATTTCTTTAAAGAATGTGAAAAGAAGTATGGACAATGAATATAGAAAACAGACATAGAAAACAGACTGCAAAATGACGCACTACTAAAGTCATTGAATGAGATTGTGATGATGACTATGTCAATGACACATGCAGGTCATAAGATGAGACAAAAAAAAAACGGACAACAATGTGCAGTAGTTGTGAATCTTTAAGAAAGTTGAGTTTCTCACCTGGTCAAACTTCTTCTGCTTCTTCTCCAGGTTGGAGATGTGTGACCGTTGCTGGTCCAGCTGGGCGTTGGCATCGTCCACCTCTCCCTGCAGTCGCTTACGGGTCTTCTCAAGCTTGTCCACCTGAACAACACGTCAGGAGTAGTCTCAAGTTAACTCCAGAATTAGTTACAGTGTTAGGACCTGTATGGCTTTCATTTTGTTCATTTCATTACGGATGTTTTTATTTGGACCTTGTAAGTTTAAGTTACATAATTGTATGGATTTATTTTGTGTACTATTTTGTTTTAAAAATGTCTGGAGTCACAACTTAAGTCCAGAATTAGGACCAGTATGTCTTATGCTTTCAGTTTGTACAATTACAAATTTTTTTATTTGGACCTTGTAATTATAATTTCTATAACTGTACTATAACTGATTTATTTTGTGTACTATTTTGCTTTCATATTAAACACTTTAAGGTTAGCTGTACGGCTAAAGGTTATCGAAGTAAACCAAAAATCTGTATCTGTATAGCTGGTATAACTGCCCTTTGGCATAACATATCAGCTTCAATACAGCTACATGTAAAACAAAGATTTTTTGAGAAACAATGTTTTGCATCTTCTGGAAAGTAGCAATGTGCAGGCGGATGAAATTTGACAAGGGGCATTGTTATCACTCTCTAAAAACCAAGCACTGCCACTAAGGCAGACATAGCTTGTTACAGAAGGGGACTGACCTGTGCCTGCAGTTCCTCAAGCCTCTGCTGGAGGGCCTCCATTTCTCTGGAGGCGTGCTTCTTCTGCTCCTCCATCTGCTCCAGGGCCATGCTGTCCTCCTCAGCCTTCCTCTTGGCATCAGACAGCTGTGTGTGGGGGGAACATCACAAGGTTCACTTTCCAATATCCTTCTGTGGTTCTGTCACACTTTTAAAGTACATAATGAGCTATGGACATGCAAGTACTGACTTGGTACGGAGCCCTCAACTTAAGAACTCCAGTTTCAATGCTGTAAAAGAATTGCAACTAGGTCGAAGGGGACAGTAGAGCTAGATGTCCACGTTTCAACCAAAGTTGACCTTCCGGCTTACAGATAACTCTAACATGTGGAGGCTACGACCAGCATGTGACAGTGTCAGGGAGGGGTTTCAGTTTGGCATACTGAACCTTTGAGAAATACAGTGCAGGTATACTGACAGAACATCCAAAGGCTTTTGCTGACCTGAGCCTGCAGGGAGCTACACTGCTTCTCCATGGCTATGTAACTTGTGACAGTCGGTGAGTATGGTGCAGGTTTGTGAGGTTTATAACTGACCTGAGCCTGCAGGGAGCTACACTGCTTCTCCATGGCTAAGACTAACTTGTGACAGAGTCAGTGAGTATGGTGCAGGTTTGTGAGGTTTATAACTGACCTGAGCCTGCAGGGAGCTACACTGCTTCTCCATGGCTAAGCCTAACTTGTGACAGAGTCAGTGAGTACGGTGCAGGTTTGTGAGGTTTATAACTGACCTGAGCCTGCAGGGAGCTACACTGCTTCTCCATGGCTAAGCCTAACTTGTGACAGAGTCAGTGAGTATGGTGCAGGTTTGTGAGGTTTATAACTGACCTGAGCCTGCAGGGAGCTACACTGCTTCTCCATGGCTAAGACTAACTTGTGACAGTCAGTGAGTACGGTGCAGGTTTGTGAGGTTTTTTACTGACCTGAGCCTGCAGGGAACTACACTGCTTCTCCATGGCCTTCTTAGCCTCCTCCTCCTCCTCCAGCTGCTCCGTCAGGTTGTCCCTCTCCTCCTCCAGGGAGCGGATCTTGGTGTTGAGGCTGAGTTTCTGCCGGGTCTCCTCCTGCAGGGACTCCTGCACGTCAGCCAGCTGGGTCTGCAGGGCGTTGTTGGCCTTGGTGAGGGAGGAGGTGCGAGACTCCAGGTCCTCCAGCTGCATGCTGGCAGACTCCAGTTCAGCCTGCACCTTAGTCACCGTCTCCTGGGACTCACCTGGGGGGAGGGGTGCATGTTTACTTTTACCATGTCATAAAACCTAAACAGTTTTGTGTGTGCTATCATCTATATCTTTACATTCATGTACACTAAACTTTAGATTCAATGTAGGCCTGTACATTTGTGTATGATCTAAGGTTTGCATGAAATCAACTTTGTATCTGCATACTATTAGCTTATTTGTAGATTTTGATGTCGAATTAAGCATATCTAAAATGTAGAAACATTTTACATAGTTAAACTCAGGTGCAGAGACATTTTTTCATGCATATTAAAATCATAGTCTTAGATATAATGTAGGCATCATTTACATAGACTGCCTCGGTTTTCCAGATGACCTCATAATGTATTTTTGATCTTGTTCCATCAGTTTTCCATTGGTGATTGTCCTTTCATGGATAAATATAGTTGTAATAATAGGAAGTAGGAGTCTACAATTTTAAATACCTTTGCTGGCGTCGAGTTCTCGGATGCGCTCGTTGGTCTCCTGCAGCTGCAGCTCCAGGGCGCGGCGCCTCCGCTCAGACTCCTGCTTCTGGGCCTGCAGAGACTTCAGCTCGTCCGTCATGTCTGTGTTCTCAGCCTCCAGGGAGTTCTTCGTCTTCTCCAGAGCGGTCTTGGCCTAAACATCAAGTACAAATATATGAAACAAAATGTCTTCAGAGACAAGAGGACACTGAACCAGAGTAGTTTTAGAACTCATGTTTTAGATTAGCATCAGACGTCACAATGTGTACTTTACTACTTCTTTTGTACTTGTATGCCTGCACTTAGCCTGAATACAATGATATACATCTATATGGACCATTATTTTTAGACCAACATATCATATTAGTGACTTATCCAAGAGCAAAAACTGCTGTTAATGATGTATTTCTAGGCTGGAAAGTTTAGGTTGCAAGGACGATGTCAAGTACAGTTCACCATGTTTGCACATCACATTCAAAAAGTATCTAACCTTTACTACAACTGAATTATATTACAGAGAAAGCTTAAGAAGAGTGATCCAAAGAATCCTCCATAAGAAGACATTCTACCCTCTTCATGGCGTCCAGTTGGTCGTTGAGCTCCTCGGCCTGCTGTTGGTTTTTCTGCCTGAGCTCCAGGATCTGCTGCTCACGGAGCATCTGTTCATCCTGCAGGGCCTGCTTCACCGAGTTCAGCTCTTGTTCACGCTTGCTCCTCAGCTCCTGTAACACAGCACAACAAAGACATGATACATAGTGGTTTAGTTGGTTTGCTTTTCTTTTAATGCCCACGATCATGATGATGACCATTCTGGCATACTCATTTCACCTGAGCGAAGTGAGGAAAGTCATATAAAGTGCCTTTCCCAAGGGCACAATGTTTGTGACTTGGCAGGATTCAAACCCGGGACCTCTTGGTTCCAAGCCGAATGCTCTGCCATTACACCACGCGACCCCACAAGTGTCAATGAAGGTTAGACATCCAGGTAGATCATTACATCTAAGTAACAGAATTTTGTCCTGTTGCCTGCATCATTTTGCATCACATTTAATCATAGGCTTCAAATTCATGATTGTTTTCCTTACTTTACCTCCTGGTGCTACAAAAGCACAATTGTTTGATTCACAACAGAAAAATATCATCAACAACAGAAAAAAAACTATTTTGCTCTTAAAGGCTCCCAATGCAGTTTATAGGGCTTGGAAACCTGATTTTTCAAAGCCAATATTCTAGTCATTTATCTACATACTGAGTTAAAACCATACTGTCCTAATGTATAGTGACCCTCATGGACCAAAAATTCCAAACATTCTGACGGAAAATAGTTACTGGAAGGCACCTGAGCTGATTTAAATCACAAATATTTCCCAGTTTTGCTGCCCTGAAATCACACTGGATGCCTTAATATCTTTCAGCGCTAGAAAAGACAACTTGTTTGGCATAAGAAAATGTCTGCTTCCTGACCTGCTGTGCAGCTGTTGTGTCATAGGAGTCTTCCAGTTCTGTCTTGAGAGCCTCCAGCTCCTCGCTGAGGTCCCTCTTCTGTTTCTCCGCCTTTGCCCGTGAAGTCTTCTCAGCCTCCAGGTCCTCCTGCAGCTCAGAGACCTGGCTTTCAAGCTCACGCAGGGCCTTCTGGGCAGAAGACTTCTGCAAGGTCTCATCGTCAATCCTGAAAAACACAAGTCCACATTTTTTACTTGTTGGCTTAAAATTTCCAAGGGTCCTTGGAAGTCCTATTTTCCCTTAGTGCACTACCTAGTGAAATGCAAAGGCACTACGCTATACGACATAAGGTACTCCCCAAACAAGGTGGAAATAGTCATTTAAGTTCATCTGTGTTGGTAGTAATTGTAGTAAAATGTTCCAACACTAGGTTTCACAGAGATCAGATTTTCAACGACCTCTGTTGCCTTCATTAGGATGAAAAGGTTGGAATAATAAGGTACGATCAGGAATACAACAACATCACAGAATGTAATATTCCCTTACAACGACTGCAAAACACCACTCTTAGATGAGAACTTCATTGTGAGACTTACTTTCGGAGCGCACTTGCCAGTTCCTCTTCTCTCTTGGCCACCTGTGTCACCAGCTCGTCCAGGTTCTGCTTGGTCTCAGACAGCTGCTCTTTGGTGTCGCCGAGCTCCATCTCCAGCTTCCTGCGCTGCTTCTCCAACTCTCCACGGTTCTGGAGTGGTGGGCAAGAAACAAATTTAATCTTTACATACTCACATTACTCACACTCACTGTCCGGTTTATAGTCTGTTGTTCCCAGACTTCCGAGGGTTAGACGTGCTTGCACAGGACTATACGAGAGCACAGACCACATTCTCTTTCAGCACAACTCACAAGAAACAAAACTGGAAGGACATGTCAACATGAAATATCAGAACAGCTACAGTACAGATCGCGGGATAAGCATCATCGGGATTCGGGATTTTGCGGGAGATCCCGCGGGAGTTTGCGGGATATCACGCGGGAGACTGCGGGATATCCCGCGGGAGTTTGCGGGATATCACGCGGGAGATTGCGGGATATCCCGCGGTATTCTTTCGGGAGGCCTGTCGTGTCCCGCGTACCGCGTAGCGAAAAAACTTGGTGCGAGACCCCGAAGTCTGCCGCGGCTCGGAACGGCGATGGCGGCGTGTCAAATGTTTATTTTTACGTCCTGCCGGGCGATCTGTGACGGGCCGATGGAGTCTGACGCCAGTCAACTTTGCTACAATTTTGCTACAATTTTGATGGTGTTGAAGCATAGGAATGTACGAAAATAATGTGTATAAGGTGTTTCTCACGCGGTCATAGTTATTATAAAACTGCTACTTTTTTTCAAAGCTATTGTTCAGCGCAAACTTTAACTTTAAGAAACTACCGTGAATGAATACAATGTAACGTGTAGTAATCCCTCCGTCTCCGGTAAATTCGGCAAGATTGTTACCAAGAAATAAAAATTATGAGGCGTACCGGCAGTAGTTTGTGGTTGTGTTTCATAATCTT